ATCGCCTAGGTGTATTTTTCCAAAAAAATCCAAGCTCACAAAAACATAGTGACTCTTATCCATTAAAATAAAATAATTTACAGTATAGTAACACTAATATTTTGCGTTCCATTATATAGTTATGATAAATCTTTCAAAGTTTCCTTTCACCCAAGATTGTAATTGCGAAAACAATTTGGTTTATAAAAATTCAATTGTTACGGGAGTTAGAAATCCCATAAAATAAATGAAAAAAATATTGCAGATGTTTGAATCCGTCAAAGCAGCATTTAACATAAATATCCCCAGCAGCTGCAAAGAATAAAGGATCAAGGTGAACCAGTATCTTGAGCTGAGTGCAAATAATGATTTTTTACGCTAGATACACGACTTGCAGTTTAATGATGTGAAAAAAGTTATTTACGAGCTTAACTTTTAAGATAATTTATTACGAGGAGCTCGCGTTTTAATGTTAACATGTTTTTTAAGCTTTTTCGACTACTAGCCTTTATGAAAGTGTCACCAAAAATTTATATTTACAATTAATTTATGCATTCTTTATATCCCTTTTACTTTTTTTTATATAATACAAACGAGCCTGTGGAACGCCCAAAAAGGGCAGTCATCGCAGCTCATAGACACCCATTTTTAGTGGGTGTGTTGCCGGCCTTTGAGGGAGGAGTACACTCGAATTTTGAATAGTTAGAGGTCGTATCTCTCAGAGAAGACCCCCACCGGGAGTCGATTCCACAGTTCGCTAGTTCGCAATGAAAATACTTTGTGAAACGAACTGTGGAAGACTTTGAATTCATACGGCTCGTACAGTGTTGAAACGAGGCAGGAGAGATCAACCCAAACAATTCTTCAGAACACTCACCGTAGTACACTTTATAGAAAACGCAGAGATGCAATATCTCTGCGTAGAGAGAGAGAATCAAGCCGATCACTAAAACATTGGGGATTGACAATTCGACAAGCCCTTCGCTGAATTTGGTCAAAAAGAAGAAGCTTTTACTTTTCACATAACAATATAATGCTCCTTTGACTTTTGTATCGAAACTCATAATACAAGCCAATTGCTTGTGAAAATATTGATTGAAGATATCAAAAATATGGTTGTAACTTGTAAGCATCGCAGCGATTTAGTCTGAGCAAAAGTAAATAAATGTGACAAACTTTGTGTAACTATTTGTAGTTTATAGTACGTATGTGAGTTAGACGCTAAAAGCTTTATGTATTAAGTTAGCTATATAATGCGTTAGGATTTGGATAGATGACAATTTTTATGATTGTCTTCAATGAAATTTGCTTAGTTATTTTTTTATCAGATACAATTAAATGAAAGAAATTAAAAATAATAATCCAACCTCATATATTGTCAACTGGAAACTACCTTATAGTTTATTATTTACGTAGGTACACTACCAGTTATTATAGCTCTTATATATATCTATATGCATATGCGTAAACTACTCAATCAATTTAGACGAAAGTTAATACTGTTCTCTAAGTTGGAAAGAGTTCCAAAATATTAAAAAAAAAATTGGTAAGCAAATGACTGCTGAGAAATATGTCTTTTTATATTTGGGTTTTGCAGTCCACAATATTCTTAACGTTTCCTCCAGCACCACATCTTAAAGGTGCTGCCTTTAGGTGGTGATCCTTTGCCATTTATAATAAATATCTTTCCAGAAAACCAGATAGCATAATTAAAATACGAAATATATTTCTGTAACAAACAAAAATTATAAATCATTTATCACGTAGAATCATTTACATAATCATTTTAATCGTCGCGTAAGTCGACAGCAAATAAAAGTTTTCTTTGATTTGTCCGCGTGTAGTTTCTGAATGCACCTGCTCCATATTTATGGCCGTTCCTCTGTAATCTATTACTCGTTTAAACTTTTTTATCCGTTCCTATTAATAACCTACTGTTATTTTGTCGAAGTGATTGTTATCTATAAAAATATGTGTCGGGCAAATTACTTTTATGTCGTTTAATGTCCGGAGACGTTAATTTTTGCGAAAATATTAAATAAGTATATATTTTACGTATTCTATTCTTAACCAAAAATAAAGGAGTATAAAAGTATCCGTCTATTATTTAGCCAAGCTATCGATTAATATGATAGTTTTTGTTTATGGATTAGGATCAAATCTCAGCGAAACGTACGGCGTACCTATATAGATTATAAAAGAAAGATTCCAAGTTATATTGCTCTCATGGACAAGTAAACTTTCTGCTATACTGTTTGTCCAAATTTTTCTACATATATCACAGCGGTTAAAACACGAAATATTGTCAATTGATATAAAACATTTACTAAATATTATTTTCGTTCGAATTTTCATTTAAAGGAACTTACAACCGCAGTTATAGAGGAAAGGTTTATATTTAAAAGCTATACCTTGAACTGTACAGGTACTTACGCGTTTATCGGATGAAACAAGAACTTGTAGCCAATTAGCAGTGTCTTTTCAACGACTTACGATTCGCCACTCTTCTTATCTATACAAATGCTACTGTAACTTACTTTTAAAAATTTATTTTTGTATCGTGTTATACAGATTCCGATAATTATTAGACTTTACATGAGGTGCTAATTATATACCCCATATTTATAGGCATCTCATCATCATATGTAAATTTATTTATATTTTATGATTTGCATTTAAAAAACACAAGAAACTCTAGCAAAAATGGTCAATCTAGCAAGATTTTATCTGTTCCCTATTTAAGGAACATGTATTTTTTTATGACAAAAAGAGGCTGCATTTCTTTAATTCAATAATTTAATTCCATGACAGAAAAAACATTTCTAATACAATAATAGTCCACGTTATGGCCGCCTCTCCGCCCTCGCACGAAAATAACGGTATCGCGGCACACAAGCGATCTAGCTAAAGCTAGTCGTTGCTATAAGCGTTAAGTTTCGTGTCTTCTGTGCTAACATTTACAATTAAAATATGTTTTTATAAGTGGTTTCTAATTCCGCAATGACTGACGTTAGGTGACCATATTTTTTTAAGAAGCGTTATTAAAATATATAGAAGTTAAATATCGTAATTGCCAGGTCATTAAAATGGAGGCAGATATTAAAATTGTTTCCAATATTAGAAAAACGCTTACTAAATAACAAAATTCAATGTTATATACAAACTAAAAACAAATAAAGTTTACCGCACGACGCGAATATGTGGAGCAATAGAATTTTATCACAATTGCTAATGTTCCTATTTTGAATCCATATCAAACGGAGGTGGGCGACCGCATCCGTTCACAACCTCATTCAGCCGACATATTTAAACATAAGAAAACATAGAGCTCTTTATAGCCATTTATTTTATTGTTATTGGTCCATAATTCTTATCTGAGGTCACAATCTCGTGAGGAGCGCTGTCAAATGTCATATTGGTTTGACAGCTCTTGAAACTAGAATTAGGCTCGAATGACGTTTCATACTGTCTGTGTTATGTCAAACATAAGATAATTATCTTTAAGTGACGAGATTTGCTGTAATAAAAGTGCAAGTGTAACTTCACTTTGTCGAACGATGGTTTATGTTCTTCTTTAAAATGCGTATTTTACACAATAAAGTTGCAAATCCAATGGCTCTAACACAAAGCCGGTGTAATTTCTGTCAGAGCTTTAATATAAAATACTTCATTATTTTCTGTGGAGGATATTTGTTCACACTCCAGTCATCCCCAAACTACACCTATTATTTATATATTACATTTTCACTTTCGTTCAGTATTAAGATGGCTCATATACCAAATTGCATACCAAGACAAATTATTAATAAAACAAATACAAATCTCAGGCCAGGCCCCATTAAGGTTTATGATTATAAAGTTCCATTACATATACTTTAATAATTCATGTAAATACTGGCACATTAATAAACATAAAATAAAACATTTGTATCGACACAGTTTATCAAGATATTGCAATATTTATTATCTGTGCTTCAGCGCCGACGTTTGCCAGCTCAATTAACATGTATTAATGCTAACGGATACTAGATAAGTTGGATTGCTCTATTGAAAAGATAAGTTAAATCGAACCCTTAACTCCGGAAAACCTCCAGTCAAGTTCTTATTGAATGTTAAATAGTTTTCTCAATTGAAAGCTTTTGTAAAATGTCAGCTGTCAAGTATTAGCGTGGATATGTATTATTAATGTCAATCTTATTACCTATTACAACTAGGCGTTCTAATAACAAATCATGTATTAGTACGACATTTATTTGATAAATCATAATATTTAGGATTGAAAGGAATGTAATTGTTAGTAATCAATTTTATATACTGTCAAGAAATAAATTGATAATTAAGTACTTTAGAAGATTTATCTTGCACAACATAAAACTTATATCCGGTCGTCATTGTGTGAAACTATAATATAATTACCGAGATCATAACACTTAACGACACATAAAATAAATCACATTACGTTTAAATCGTACATACAATAATTCTATTAAAAGACAAATTTAAATGGCAACTATTAAATCTAGGAAGCCGGTCATAAAATGTAAAACGAACACAGCTAAGCATTTTTCCTCAGTTAATATCCTAGCTTTATAGCTCTCGTAGGTATCGTGTAATCGTTGCTACGTAAGTTATTTTAAACATATTAATATATTCTATTTATAAAACACATTGTCAGTTACAAACTATAATAATCATATCGATAGAAATCTATAAAAAACAATAAAAACAATAAAAACAAAGTATTAACAATTAAACTTGTAATTCACAGAAAAAGTGGGTCACCTGAGGGTCTTTGTTTTGACAACTAATATTTTATTTATTCACCTTGACTAAGAGCATGGATAACTCAGAAGTATAAGTCTTTTATTGATTATAAAATAACTTATCCGTAAAAAAAACTTATTGATAAAACTTTACAAAAACTAAATTCCAAGCATCATTTGTTTCATATAATGTACTTGGTATTTAGTTATTATAATGTAATGTACTAATCTAAGATACCCCCAATATATACCTTACTTATGAGATCTTTTTCTCCAGGATACTACCAGCCGGCAGGTCCATTGATCAAAGAGAGCAGCGCAGATGCAGAGCGGGCGCTGACTCGGTACCACCCCACTCCTCACTACCACGCGCCACACCCTCCTGTAAGTATTTACAAATATGTTAAAGTTACAATATTTCAAACTTATCATTCGTATTTCGTAATCCTACAGCTGATATAAAAAAATGTGTTTATTCATTATAAGTACATATGCATTACAATGTGTAAGATGTGGGAACTCTTTTAAGTAAAAAAAATACCTGTGTCAGGGTAAATTAATAAAATAAATTAAACATATATACAAAAAGGTACAAACATTTGCAAAAGGAAAAAATCAATAAAAATGATTAAAAACATTTAACTAAGCAATAGCTTATTCGGCTGTATAATGTGATGATGTGAAAGTGAGGGTATATACTGAGGGTCAGTATTTGGGGTATGCTATGGGTATTCTTAATTTCTTTGAAGGATATTTCGCGATAGGAAGTCAAGGCTTAAATAGTGGTCGTTATATGTGCGCGATTATGAAATTATTTTTGTTTCTTTTTCTTAAAGAATATAATTCACTTGCACGAGAAAGGAGGATTTTAAAATCTTAAGTACAATGTAGTAAAGTAACCTTATATACCGTAAGAAAACAAGGAATATCTTAATTCCGAAATTTTACCAACGTTTTGGGATGAGACGGAAAAAAGTTATTATAAATAAGTAGAATAGTAATAACAATTGAAATTACTCTAATAAACGTGAATAAACGCAGATAAACTTCATTTTACAATCGCGGACTGAATTCATTTGAAAATATTACGTTTTTAAATGTCTGCGCAATTTCCGCCTCGACCGTTTCCGGTTATTTGTGAGTGAAAATTTGAATTTAAAACTCAGATGCTATCTTGGTCAACTTAGAACCTTTTATTCTTATTATTTTCTAAGAGATTGGTAATTTCGAATATTTTTTGTTCGCTCACATGTTTTTTATAGTTTTGTAACGTTTTATATTAATTAAGTCCTTCAAGAAAAGAACATACCAATTCTTAAAAGGCCGGCAACGCACTTGCGAGCCCTCTGGCATTGAGAGTGTCCATGGGCGGTGGTATCACTTAATATCAGATGAGCCTCCTAACCGTTTTCCCCCTGTTCTATAAAATAAAATGTTGTTCGTCAAAGAAACGGTTTATAACACAGCAAATGAAACGTAACATATTTCAATAAAGATAAGAATAATAATAATATACCTGTAATAAATGCCAAATTCAAATTCATTTATTCATTAATGTAACACAATGTACACTTACGAACGTCATTAAAGAAATACATATTAAATGGTTTTAATTTTACATTTACTGCCAGTTCTCGAATCAAGAGCGTAGAACGGATGAGAAGAACTGGCAATAAACTCTCCGCCACTCTTTTTAATCGCCAACTTTTTTGTTTTACAAAATTTTTGTAAGGAGCTGCAACCATTACACCAAAGAAAATGATCTACCGAAATTGTTAAGCAATGTTGCATATTTTCCATTCCATATTCGTAAGTACTCCAAACAAACAATTTTTATTTTTCAGGTTCTCCAACAGTATGGTCCGTATTACCCGACCGATCTCTGCTATGGGCGGTATTACCGGCCGCCTGGACCTTACCACATGCCGCCCCCACAGCCCGACTCGCCGGTAAGACCTCTTTAATTACTTTTTTTATGTAATAGGAGGCAAACGGACAGGAGCCTCACCTGATGTTAAGTGATACCGCCGCTGATGGACACACACATTGCCAGAAGACTCGCAAGTGCATTGCCGGCCTTTTAACAATTGGTACGCTCTTTTCTTGAAGGACCCTAAGTCGAATTGGTTCAGAAATACTTCAGTGGGCCGCTGGTTCCACATAGTGGTGGTGCGCGATCTTCGTGTCGAAAGATTCCTAAAATAGAGCCTCTGTTTCATGTAATTTTTCTCGAAGATCCTGACATCGAGTCCGGCCTATACATACAACATAGAAGGCTAATAAAAAAAGTCATACTAGGCATAGGAGTCACAGAAACATGTTTGATCTTAATAAGTTTATGATGAATTTTTAAACTACATATCCGATCGAAGGTATATTTATATTTGCTGGCAATCCACAACCGATTTATAGTATAGGGTTTCTGGTTGCGTAAACCACGCAATTTTATTTATAACTATTAGAAATCGTTTCTTTAAATCCCTCCGTTCATAAAACGGAATCGTTAAAACAGCCACTAAGTTCATATACACATTTCAATTTATCAATTATTAAATAATTAAACATCGGTAAAGAAGACCGTCGTTTTAAGTAATTATATATAAAATAAATAAATAATATTGTTAAGTTACGGTGACCTCAACTTCTCTTACTCCGTTCGTGCGAAACTAAAATTGTTTATAATATCGCAGTATTTTTATTAGGTTACATCAAAATTTTATTTTTGTGGACGAAAGAGTTCTTACATTTTATTAATCTGCTATTCTAATTCCAGATGGTTGGTGTTAGTGAGCCCTATCCACCGCAGTATTACAGCTCACCGCCATGTTACCAACATTCACCTCAAAGGATACCATATGTTGGTTAGTACACTATTTTATGTAAAACATTACTTTATACCTGAAATCTTGGTAAGAATTCTTGCAAGCCGCTTTCCAATATACTGTATATTGGAAGCAAATGATCAACTAGTTTATTTATTTAATTATATATACATATATGTTAGCTAAACTATGACAAAAATACAAACACTTAATATTACATTATTTTCAGAGTATCGAGGATGCCCGTGCCCACTTAACGCGTGTCCAAAAAACGTCCTTATTGGGCCCGCTACTGGTAAAGCCCCGACCGGTGGCGGCCCAGATGTCCCCTCAACACTTGCGCCACCCGGGGCCGCCTTCCGACCGAAGGTGCGGGCGGGCGCGCTTGACCCTGCAGACAAACATAGCAGCGGAAAGGTCAGTCGTGTTTTAGCAAATTAATTTTGTAGGCAAGATTACATAATTCTCTAGAGAGAACCCACACTGTGCCAACGCTTAGAATCTCTCGTCCTGGCTAATGACGAAATTTTTACCTAACCGTAACAATACCACTGTTTTGAAAACTGATATTTTGTGGGTAGTAGTATTAATAAAGCTTGTTTATTCTCATATAAATGAAGTGATAATAGCAATAAATAATAACCTAACTGATTAAACCACTGCGTCGAAACAAGAAAACTATTTATTCTCCATAACGAGATCACTATTCCCACGTTACCTTTAAACAAACTGATTGTAATTTAAATGTTAAATGATCAAAGAGATAATTAAGTGATTTATGGCTGGGACACGCTCGCCGCTAATGTGTTATAATTACGTACAGTTAATTGACATCTGCTCTTCTAATGTAAATGAGTATTTACATTGTATGTCACTCAACCAAACGATGTTGGCTATGTGTTTTTATATAGTAGCCCGTTTCAATATCTTACAGATAATTGAAATCTATCTTCATATTTTCAGGACCCGCCCTTAGAGCCGGAGCCCCCGGAGCCTCCGACAGCAGCAGACGCGCCCCACCCGTGTCCGCTACCGGCCATGGGTGGGGCTTCGCCCAAAAGAGAGCTTTACGACGTACGAGATGGCCTACGGATTAATGGAGATTTACCAGGCCCGGAAGCACTTGGCCCACCGTCACCAGCGCGAGGATCCGCCGGCATATGCGCTCCGCAACCGCCCCCTATTGCGCCTAGAAGAGCTCGACTAGGAAAAGAAATGGCCAGGCGATCTCTAGCTGGAGACGACACCACTATACTTCTTACGCCACAGCCTTCATCTCATCAGGAAATGGATGACGACGTTCTCGCCATATCGCCACCTATATCGGCACCTATAGACCTCTCATCATCTGACGAAAGATCCACCCCTCTCGTTGACGTTAAAAAAGAAAACGAAGGCCCCACCTATGCACCCTGCAGAAAACCCGATGCGCAAGCTCTCAGAGAACACAACTCTACCATGGCACTATCGGAATCTGCAGGCACGGATTCGGCTAAACCATCTAAAAGAAGGCATTCTAAATCCAAACTTGAAATCGAGATGAAAGACGTGCAATTAGAAGACGTTTGTAAAACAAATGGAATAGGAGAGCACGTTAAGTTGCAAAAGCGACGCAAAGTTTCGGGCGATCAAAGTGAACCTATTCGAATAGAAACGGTAACAAAAGAACCAAAAAAGAGATTAAGTCAACATAAAAAGACACCTAAAACTCCAACAGAGAAGAAAGGCAATAAAAGAAAATCTGATTCCGTTTGCAATGAACCTAAAGCTAAGAAAATGCTTCTGGACCCTGCTTCGACTAATGACCAAAGACTCCAAAATGTTGCTGAACCTAAAAATAAGTCCATAGAAGATAATTTGTGTCCTACACAAAAAACAAAAAGTGCTGAGGTTTTAGATAATCTGATTAAGAAAAATAGTGTAGAGGGATACAACTCTGAAAATGACATTAATCCTGCTGCGTTATTTTTGCCTACTAATCAAAATATAGCTCAAAGTACAAAGAAAACTTTAAATATAAACAACAATGTTGTTGAAAATAACACAACTATTAGTGGGGTGACTCCGGAAACTATAGCAGCGGTGAGCCAACTAATTGAGAAAAAGTTAGCCAGTAAAAACTCTTACAAACTAGAAAATATAGATTCAAAAATAACGCATAATATGCAATCAGTATTAAACAATAATGCCTCAACCGACGTCCTTCTAAACTTCAAAGAAGATAAGAAGAACCGAGTGCTTGCAAACGTTGAAAAATGTGGGGATAAAAGTGTTAGTGTAAAAGACATTTGCGGACTTTCGAAAGTAAAAACTGAGAGTGTAACAGCCAATCAAATTAAATGTGAAAATTATACCAAAACACTGAAAGCGTTAAAATCGCAAAAGTGTAAATTCGTTACCCAAAACCCAGAAACCGAACTGGACAAGTTTATATGTGATAGCAGTTGTGAATCTCAAAGTGTAAAGAAGGAAGGTCTGGAACTAATAACCGACATTTCCTTAATCGACGGCGGTGAAGATAAATCGGATGAAATTTCGTCCTCCATCGATAGTGATCTCAAACGGAAAGCTGTGGAGAATGTAGTGAAACTATTAGTGTCGAAACGTCAAGCCCAAATAGAGGAAGCTGAGAAAGAGGACAAAGACATAGATGAGGAAAAGGTGAAACGGTGTAAATTCGGGAACGGTGAGAAGAAGAGTGTGGAAAAGGTTGCCAAGTTATTAGTGTCTAAAAAGACTGTTATTAAAACGGACGAGGCTGCTCTAGTGATCGAAGATGCCTGTTCTTCACCCGTGCCGGGGCTGAAGAGACGCGCTAGGCGAAGGCGCAGTGTGGGCCGGAGGGTTAGGAGGGTTGCCCCCCCTCTCGACCCTCCAGATTTCAAACCCCGGCCGCCCCCAAGGTGGAGCAATGGATGGAATTGGGACGGAGAATACTTTTTCTCGAAAGTCTACCTCAATGTAAGTTTTTTTAATTTTAATTATTAGCATATAAACGGATCTTAGTATTTTTAACCCTACTTTTTTCTATACTTTTTCCAAAAATAATAACTTTAAATTTTACCTGTAGATTGTATTTAGGTAAAAATATATTTTCTATTTATAATTAGGACAAAAATAGACTTATAGTAGACACAAGTGAATTTATGGCTGCTAAAACCTTAAAGCTGTAACTGTTCCAATAATATAAATTCCGATTAAGGCCATAGATTACATTTCGTTTTTCAGAATGACTCGCGCCTAGACCGCACAGCGCGTTGTTGGTCACGTATGACCCACGCCAGTGGAGACCGCGTGGCGCGAGGTGACTGTGTCTTGCTGCGAGCTTCGCAGGCTCGCGCCCAACCCTTTGTCGCCAGAGTCGCTAGTCTGTGGGAAAACCCTGATGACGGTAAGTTTCCATCAGTGTTGCATTCCGTTATATTGACACCAAAAAAGGTTTTAACTATCCAGCGTTCAAGTATTAGGTCACGCAATTTTTGGAGATTATTGACACGACGTTTCTCGGTTTCCATCAAAAGGATTTGAGAAGGTGGTTGCAGTTAAGGTAACTGCGACATAACATGCGTATTAAGCGAAGAAACTCCCGTAAAACTATGCATTGGTTTAGTGTATAATATGCTTTTTACTCTAAAACTTGCAATGGGCTATCACTATTGATACTAGTATTAGAAGCTGACTTAAATTGGGATAATATTTTTTTTAGAGCAAATACCATTTTGGGTAAATAGGTAGCACTTTCCACACTCACATTCTAATGTTGTCTGTTTTCGGTTTGCTTTTTTGGCGTTTCTGGTGTAGGGCATATTGAAACCCCTTTTGTGCGTCTGTTTGAGGCAATTGTTTGTTGACGCGAATCGAACGCAAGACGGATTATAAACCTGTATCCCGAAGTAGAGTTCCTAAATGAGAGACCTAAGCTCAATTCAAAATGATAATTATTCTATTTTAGGAGAAATGATGGTATCTCTTGTGTGGTACTATCGACCCGAACACACAGACCGCGGCCGATTGCCCGCTGACGCCCCGGACGAAGTGTTCGCCTCCCGACACAGGGACGCCAACTCCGTCGCCTGTATTGAAGACAAATGCTATGTACTCACCTTTAACGAGTACTGCCGGTACGTTCTTTACAGTATAAGCTAAATAATAAAACCGTTTAATAATAAAAGGAATTTAGAAAATTAATGCGATTTCAAATACATGTCAACATTATATATACGTGGATACTCAAATTCAATTTATTCCCTAAAGATATCATCTCGATAAGACATTTAGATTCGAGAAACTTGTAGATAAACATAATATTGACTAAACAACTTCGAAATAATTACACGCGTTTGGAAGCCTAAATACTGGTAGATAAGCCTATTCTAAGAGTACCTATTTAAACAATATCACATACAGCTCAAACTAAAAACTTTATTTCGGTAAAAAATATTATTGAGCTCAATTTGGTTGGTTAAATTCACGTTGCAGACGTGGACCAAAGATAGAATATAAATAACGCTTTGTCATGTAAGATCATACACAAAAATTCTAAAAATCAATATTTTCCATACCATGTCAATTTTTGATATTATTTCCCACCTTTGTGCACCTTTGTGAGCATGTCAGAAAAAATACCTGTAGCACTACTAAACGTTTCTAATTTAAAGAAAATCTTATATTCCTACAGCTTGTCCTAATTTATCATTTGTCACTTTCAGCTATAGAAAACGGCTAAAAGCGGCTGAGGAGGGTATAAGAATCACTCCCTCTATCGTGCCGCCCTTCCCAGCCAGTGAGGTGACGCCTGCCATAGCCCCCACGGACACCAAACTCCCTCCTTCCGTATCCCCCGAGCTGGTACTCTTCTGTCGGAAGGTATACGATTTCAGAACCAAGAAAATACACGTCCCTAATAAATGAAACCTTGGATCCGAGCAACTGGATTCAAATTGAAGGCACGGCCGAGGGACGGGTCCGATCCCATTATCAGTACAAACTTTTCTTTAGTAGCGTGTGTGTGGTACGTTGCTTTTAATGTCGTAGAGGTTGATTTATTGATTTAATTTGCTAATCCTTATTCGATAATAATGTTGATAAATGATGCCTTTTATAAAAAAATAAGTAGAATTAAGTGAAGGATGCATAATTATTGTGAATAGAACCTTTCGCTTGTGACATGACTGTGCCCGATTTCTTACTTCCGTAGACTAAATGTATGTGTGGAATAATTAAGTACATTAAAGCATTTACGTTACTTTCGTCACTTTCTAAGAGTTAATTTTATGTATAGACGTGGGCACGGAAACTTCCGTTTTCGAATAACAACTATTGTAATCGGAGTAGTGCTCTGAGTCCCTGAAGCGATTCATTTGGTTGTACTTACGCTCTAAACTTGTGTCAAAAATTCTGGATGTTCGCACAAAATTGTTAATGTAATGTTTAGGTATATAACATAGACCCTTATGCGAAATCCTTTAGCGATTGACCCCAAAATACCTCAGCTTTATTCCATTATCAGTTTAGATCGCTTAAAATCTGTATGTCATGTAGTTACTAGATATAAGAAAGACCCAGTAAACATCACATATAACATCTCATGCGAATTCATCTAAATTTAACATCTCTTCATATCTGATATTTGGGCCGATTTGGAAGCGCACGCGCCACAAAATGACTTTGTATCGATGAAGGAACTATGTATATCAGGAAAACCTAGAACACTACACATAAAAAGCAATCAGGAACACAAAAAGCGATTTGATCCCTTCTTTATTGGAATAATATAAATATTATGTACATAGAAAAATTCCATAAAAATTATCAAATTGTACAAAATGCGTGCACGGACAAATCGCCCTGTTGGAACGAATTTGGCCATTTAATTTTTTGTAGTCTGTTTAAAAATTTACAAATAATGGTAGTTACTATCAAGAATTCTTGGAGTTTTTGGGTTTATTTTAATGTTACGCATATTTAAAGAACTATATGATCAATTATAATTACAATCAAATTCAATCACTTATATGCGAACAAATATACCATTTATCATCTGTTAACGGGACTAGAATGAGATGCCGCCATGACAGTTTTGTAAAAGGAAGAGTATGAATCGCTTTGAAATATCAATTTCAATGTCGTGGTTAGAGTTTCGATCAAAGATGTTTGTGGTATATTCATTCGTTTTTTATATTTATTTTATTAATAGCGGAGCAAAATAATTTGAAATCCTCAATTTTGTGCTTTCGAGGATTATTTTAACTTAATCAAGACTGATTTTGCAAATGGTCATTTTAGACGATTTTATCAGTTCATCACATCAATTGACAAATCAGTGGTTAATTGTAAAAAAAAAAACAAATGGGAACATTGTAACATATTTTAATAATTAGAGATAGTTTAAACACGTGTTGAGTGGAGAGACGCACGATCTCTTAGAGGTACCGACCCCAAACCGAAAACAAATTGGTACTTGCCGTGTTTGGGAAAAATACTTTTGGGTCCGTTCAGACCGCGGTTCAATAAAATATGAATTTCCTTTGATCAATAAGTGCCATCAAATCAAAATAAAAAGTTTTTGGAAGTCAGAAAACGATCATGACACTTGCATGTTTTTTTTTGTATAAAACATACATTTCTGACAAATTTTGGACCCTTATAAAGTTTATAAAAAATTCGGTAGTACTAGAAAATCCATCCAATTGTTCTAACGAAGACACTCAACTGCGGTCTGAACTGACCTTTAATTTATCAATAAACTGTTAGATTTTTGAAATTCTAATGTCTTATGCGTTGTATCATGTATTTCGGTGGTGATTTGTAGAACATAAAATTTTCTATAAGTATGTTATTACTCCCGTGTATTAAGGGCATTTATGTAGATGTCCCGGTGCCTAAGTTCTAATTTTATTTACAAGAACTATGTATTATAGAATTGAGCTGAAATTGTTTGTTTTATTAGTTGCACGTAAATAATTAGACAAGTGTATCAATATTATGTAATACGTGGAGTACTCGATATTGAGTCCTTAAGTACCTTATATTCAGAATTTTTTATTTCGTCAATAGAAGGGAAATACCAGTTTTGATGGAGGTCAATGCACGTATAATAATGTAAAATGGAAGGTGCCGGGACACCAAAAGTATGTTAAATCATGGAGATATCTCATTTTATACGTTTCTCCAAATTTCGTTGGCTCTTTTTGTTTTGTAAATACATATTTATGTGAGAGCGTGTTTTTCAATCGTTTATGCCGAATATTGTAAAGGAATTTCTGGTGGTAGACCTAATTCTTGGGAACGATTGAAAATCAAGCTTTAGTGATACTGATTCTTTAACTATCCAATGAGGTTATATAAGTTAGAATATAATGGCTGTAGCCATAGACATAAAAATATTAATTTCGTATAAAAAACAGAAAATAGTTCACTTGAAAAAAGGCGTCTAAATTTTGTAAGCCCATTCCGAGGACACCAATTACTGGCTAATGTCTATGGCTGTAATTAAATTGTCGACACATCTATAGCCACAACACAGTCATAAAAAAATCTATCAATCTAATTGCACCATTTGAACTAAAGTACTTATCTGTCCCTTTTCATCACAGTGTAAACATTATTTGACAGAAAGAGACAAAAGTGCAATCAGACTCCGTTTTTTACGTATAAGATTATTTAACATAACCTCATTGGTGTCTATTCCAAAGCTTAAGTTTTCTTATTCTTTGCTTGATGCCAAAAATTTAGCTGCAAACTTATCTATATTGTCAATATACCAGTCTCTTTTCGATTTAGGCTAAAATTTTAAAATCATTAGGATATGCATATATTTAACGTTCGAGTAATGACCAATAAGTTGGGTTTACAAAAACACAAATATTCATTCAGTTATAATTATACTTAGCGTTATTAATTACCATTTTAAAGCTATAATTGTGAAACGCTGGTAAAAAGATCTTTATTTCTAAGGGAGAAAGGTCCATTATCGTGCACCCTGAAATCAAATATATAATTCAAGTGCCAAAAAGAGTGTCGAATGTTGATTGAAATCCAGACGTCCTGTATATGCATATTCTTCTGATACTACTCATTATTAGTTAATTGTAGAGTAAATTCCATACTAGAGAATAGTGTAAGTGACCTCTCCCTTGCTTGTAGGTGGATTGTTTTAAATGTTACCTGGTATTCAGCAATTGCAAAACTCTATAGTCAATAATGATTTTTAGATTTAGGTGTATTCATAAGGAAATACCTTGTTTTATTATTTATTTGTTCAATGGAAATTATATAGGTATATTTTTATTATTGTAACCTACATAGTTACGTTGGCTGTAATTTAATATTGATGTAAAATTAATATATGTATTTTTATTTGAACTCTCGTTTTATTTTTATATTTACGAGAAATTATTACCCTTTAGCATTCATACATATTATCCATAGAGGCCTCCAGGAGATGATGACTATTGATAATCATAAAAAACCAAAACTAGATGAAACATTGATATATTTTACCTATTTTTCATTGGAACTGATTTGGACTGGAAGCCAAGGGTTTGCAATATCAAGAATGTTATAAAAGTATTAACAATGATAGCGAAGCAAGGTTTTTGTATGAGAAAACATTTTATAGTAGTTAAACTTAGGTTAACTGCTTCGTCAATGCTGGCGAGGAATTATATTTCCGGGACAAAACACCTTGGATGTAACAATTAACACTCGTATAACCTCATATGTCCGTCCTTCCACAAATAAGCGTATAAGCACATTTGGCCACGCACGCTATCAGGAACTAGCGTACTCGAAGAAATTCTGAATCGATTTAACTTAAAAAGAGCACCAGTTCCTAAAAAGTAGATAACACACTCGCAAGTGAAAGTGCACTTCAGGCACTTTGGGTGTCGATGGACGGCTGTGCTTTTTGTTTATTTATGAAGCATACTTACATAAAGACAAATATTTCAACGAAGATACTAAAAAATATATGTAGTATTACGGTTGTTTATCCTTTCCATTGGATAGGGAGATGCGCTCAGCTACCACCAAGCAGCGGCGCGGTTTTAAATGGCCCTCATATGCACAAAGTTCTGACAAAAAAAGATAATATTGTTACAAGTTAGATCGGATAGAGCCCGAAAACCTCTTAAAGGGCTCCCTTTAGGAGTTTCCAGATAATCAACGAGAAATTTAAGTGCAACAAAAATACACATATAACGCGGAATAATACACTAATAAATGAACAAAGCACTGCCCCTATAATTAGTGTTTGAGTAGTTATAGTTTTAAAGTTCGTTCTTGAATATTCAGTCTTGCTTCAACAAGTGTCGATCTTCCTTCTCTTCTCTCGCCTATTATTATGTCCATGTCTCACACCAAGAAATTTCACACTAGAATGTTCCTTCATAAAAGGGGTACATCCAGTCCTGAAAACGCCTGTATATGGGTTTATTAAAAACAATACCACGTGACACTCGTATGTAAACTGTCTGAAAAAATATTTCTCTACTGAAAACGAAGGTAAGTTTGTGTAAATTAAAATTTTCTGTAATAAAAAACCCCCCCCCCCCCCCTCTTCAAACGGTCGTAATTAAGCTTGCCGAAAACGTCTCTAAGTTGAAGAAAAACCAAGAAACACTTCATTGAACCCGTCTTCGGAACAATATGATGTTTCAATATATCATCGCGGATTTGACCCATAGCGATAACTTATAAGTCCGGAGTCACGCGGCTTTCAAGTTCAATCTAGATAGTTTGGTTAAAGACTTGCCCAGGGCCTTTTATAAAAATTCTTTCCCCAGTAGTGTATGTAGAACGTCAAAAAATTTGTATGAAAACTTTTCGACACGAACTGTCATTTCCATACAAATTAAGTTTTCGACTTTCTACACCCACTGCTTAGGCATCTTGACTAAGGCCCCTGTTCATATTTAACAGGCAAGTCAAAGGTGGAGTTTATGTTTAATGTGGGTGAGAATAAGCGCCTCTCTGAGCTCACAAAATGGCCACTACCCGATCTCACAAGTCGCCCTATTTATAGTAATACTAAAAAGCTGAAGAACATAGCCCTGGTTTAAACGTTCTTGCAAAGTTAATCCCGAGGCAACTTAAAAAGTTTAATCTGCCTCCACGTCTTTCAAACAGGAGAATGCTAGGGAAAAGGCTGAGTAGATACATTATCAGATTTGCCGAGACATTGGTCCGCCTCCCTTTGTGAACTCACCAGGACCTCCTGGTGTCTCACCAAAGCTATCTAAGGGAATTTCTGTCAGTCCTCCACCCCTGCACAGGGAGGATTACCTACTCGCTGGCCCATACCGCGAAGGAGAATCAGGCATCTCCCTAATTGCGCTGCGCGCTTGTGCTTCTGAGTTGGCTCTGGTCCTAACGTCCTTATACGGTAGCTGTACTCGCTCGACATCGACACCCACAAAAATGTCCCAAACTGATGGGAGATCGTGAGACATTAAAAATCAGCAGTAACCATTGACCGAAGAGCATGGCTTATCCGACCAAAAATACATTATCAACGGCCAGCTCCGGAGTCTGGTCCATAAGATAGTTTTTCGTGCTCTTGATCTTCATATGAATGACGAGGTCAAGGTAAAGGCACTAGCGGTTTGCCTGAATTTAGCCCAAGCCTTATCGGGTGTGGCATGCCTTCTTCGACGCTTTCAGCTTGCTTTTTGGCCGATCGAGATTAAGGCACTGAGGAGTCCGACCAAAACCCCGAGTCTTTTTCTTTCATTGAATAATGTGCAACAACTCTTAATTGCGGATGATAGAAATATCTATATTGGCCGTGCAGGAATTTCTCGAGCTATTGTCGATCAGTATGGCAACAAACTGGTGTCCGAAGTCAAAGCTTTAAAGCAAGCAAGAAGTCTCGGACTGGGGTCTACTAAATCTAGTCCAAGTTAGTCCAAGAAGACACAAGTTTGCACGTTTTCCGCTTAAAAAAACTCCACCACTCCGAAGACTCTTCTCTAAAGTTACAGCCAGAATCGGAATACTAGACGTTGATGTATCGAACGACGTTCAATTTCGTGGTCTATTGGAAGGAAAAGCTAAATTACTCTCCAAGAATCTTGCTGTGCTCAGAAAGGCGAGATGGAACTTCACTCCGGGCCATGCAACTGTATAAAGTCACCACTGTACTCACTTCTGGGCGGAGGCTCCCTTATCACTTGACCATATTCAGCGAAGAGCGATTCAAATCGTCGACGACCAGTCACTCTCCGAGCGGCTTCACTCCTTGGCTTTGCGTAGATTTGTGGGGTCTCCAATGGGACTCCACCAAGGGCGGGTTTAGTAGTACAAGTAGCGGCACGAAACTCTAGCGCTGAAGTAAAAAATAAGGAACATGAGGGGGGCAAGCGGACGCGCGTAGCGTCGATTGGCTCTCCAGTCGCATTCCGTCCCCCGCGCGACAGTACACATGCGCAGCAATCCCCTCCACGTAGCGGCCAGCGCTAGACTAGACATAGTAGTAAAATGACAAATTTGCATCTTTTTTTAAATACTGTTGTTTTGAAATTGATAGTATCACGAGCGCGTACAAATAACCACAGTATTAAAAATTTAAAATAAAATTAGATAAAATAAGGAAGTTTTATTTAAAAATTTGGTACTTGCGTAAATCGAGACAATAATGATAATAATTTTAGGAGAAACAATTTAAAAACAACTGATCTTTATGCCACATTTATTTAAAAGGTTAAGCAAATTTTACTATATAAAATAAAAATTCGTAATCCAAAACAAAACATCTATGTATAGTCATCATTTGAACTAACAATAACATTATATTTAACTAAAAATTAAGTTTCATAATTATTTCAAATTGATCACAGAACAAATACATGTTATGTTCACATATTTTACTTTATTTTTATACAGTTGGCTTTACAGTTCACATGCAAAGTCTCGTCTTGTAACTATTATGCTTTGGAGCATTGACTGCTGAACCTATAATGGATTGAACATGTCTGTACACAACAGAGATCAATTGCATCTAGAACATTCTCCAAGCAGATGTTACCATTACATTCCAAGTACATAGCTAATAATATATAGTAAATACATAAATTACCATATAGTAACTATATATAGACAAATATTAAACTATATAAGTATTAATGGTTTCTAGACATCCTTTTGTTCTCTTAACATATATTTAAGGAAAAAATATTGCAAACATGCTTTAGCCAATGGATTTAAACATTAAGGTTAAACCATATTAGGAACAAACTAATTGTAAGGACAACCTCTACTTTATAATCAGTATCGATTCATGCTATATAATTGGCAATATTAATATAACAATATCTACCAGAATAGATCCTACAGATACATCAATACAGAATACCATACATAATACACATTGAAAATATGACCCACGCTAATATTTTTGTTAATAAGATAATTTATTGAGATTTCATACATTTTACAATGTTATACATAACTTCACTCATAAAGATGGTACTAATCATTTAGTGGGATTGATTTGTGATTTCAAAAAGGATTTACTCATGCTAATCTCATCCATATTAAGTATTATGTCAGCTAAGTGCTTTACATAATGGAAATCCATATCAGTCTTACCTAATTTATAACATTTATTTTAATATATCAGGATTATATATTTATCTATACTCAAAAAATGCTAAGAACAATGTGACACACCTATAATGCACATATTTAACACATTACATATAAAATGCTTTTCATACTGTTTTAGGCATATATATTATTCAATAATTTGAAATCAACATCAAAATCCCTCAAAAATTACAACAACTATTTGTCTTACGAGCAGTCTTATAGAATGCCTTACTATGCATAGAAAGACTATTTGATTTTTCAACTAAGTCATCCAATTTCTCTCCCCTCTCTAACACAGCTTTAATTGTGTCATGAAGAATAATTTTAGTTTCATCTAAGTCATTCTGTATTTTTGTCAAAGCATCTGCTTCCTTAGGATCCTGATATTTGGCTAAATATTGTGGGAGGACAGGAAAGTCTATAGTTGTTTCATCCCCAGTCTGCCAAATTGCCACTGGCACTTTAGCAGAAAAATCATCAAGCAGTTTTGTTATAAGAGTATGTGCAACTCTATTCGGATATTCATGATCTGATATAAGAACCCCTGCAAGGTTATCTGCTCTTACATATACTTGAACCATATATTCACCTTCTTTTACTGATTGCCTGGATGCTTGATGTGTTCTCTCAACAATTGTCTTACTCACAAAAGTCATAAACTCTTGAACAGAAGATCTTTGGAAAAAACTAAAGCTTTGTAAATCATATGCTGCTTTTAAAATTGTGGCACTGGTCACTCCTTTATACAAAACTACAAGTCCATATACCTTCACCATGATCAATATTTAAATGGCTGTAAAGTAATTAAGCAAAAAGTTAATAGTTTAATAATTGTTATGTTCTTAAATTTTATTAATCACAATTTTTTAGATAAAGTGAAAGTAACATACCTACGTGTAATAATAATCTTATGTATCTGCAGTTAAAGTAACAACAGACTTGGGAAGCCAAATATTACAATAAGGAATGTGATTATAAGTTTATAGTATTTAATATTTTGCGTAATTTATAAATTTCTTTTATCAACTATCAAGCAATTTTTTTAATAATTATTTGATTTTCAGTCATTATTGTCAATTGTTAAATTGTCAATGACAATAGTTAACAAGAGTGAACAATTGACCTTATGAATGACATATCGAATTATGTAGGTTGCACAGTACACTTGAAGACAGGAAAATCCCTTAACAACAATATTGATGATATAGGAATTTATTGTGAACAACAAAATTTGTCTCTTTCTTCTACAGTACAATTGCATTTAACGAAAGATTTAGTTGATCATGGATGTTAGAAACTACCTAATAGTAGACTTGAACGTTTACGAATGTACTAGATCTACCATTTATGTGAATTTATGTGTCCCAGAAAGAATGGAAAAACATATTTTGGGTATAGGTTATGTTAACTAAAGCTGGCGGCTTCAACACATTTGTGCTTGTGTAGTGTCTGTGAATAAGCGCGAGACGTAATGTCAAACTGAAATACAATCATAAATACAATACACATAAATACAAATATTCATGAATAGACTGTCCGTCGTGTATGAGTGGACTAAAATGTATAGCATGGCAAAAAAATCATATTTTGAAACATACTGTATGTGAAATTGCATTAGTGTGAGTACTGTGAACCCGCCAGCTTTCGATAACCGACCTATATCACTTGGATTTTTTTTTTCTGACCGCTGGAGAGCTGTTCCGTGCGGGGTTCAAGGATTATCCATTCTTTCTGGGACACCCTGTATATTTCAAATCAAATAAATTCCAGCGCATTTAGGACATAAAAAGGTAACTTTTCACCAAATTTCGTGGGAAAAAAATTATTTTGTAAAAGAAAAAATAAAAAAACCAAAGACTTGGTTTTTTGAATTTTTCACATAAATTTTGAGGTTATGTGAAAAAAGTGAAGATACAAAAGTTTTAGATCTTTTTATTATCTACAACTTTGCGGTTTGACTTTTTTCCATAGGACTTTTAGTTTTGCCGGAAATCGAGATAAACCGTTTTTCCCCTTAAAACTCACCCCTTCCCGACCTCAGATCGCCCGTAAATTATTTTTCCTTTAACTTTGATTATATTCTCCTCCTTTTCCAATGGTTTTCATCCTACTATTATTTTTTTTGGTTTCAAAAATTATCGACCCTGGTTAAATATGTATCATCAATTCTGAGAAATACATACAAAGAAGGAGCCGGATAGTTGGCGCTCTTAGCCGAATGGTTGCCGACTACGAAAGTGGCCAGATAGTCGGCTTTACCGATTAGTCCGAAGTTCCGTACATCACTAATTATTAGCCCTTACAGATAGGGTACCTAACACTTTAGCTTAAATATTGGAAAAGGTGATGATAATATTGGAAACAAAGTTTTCTGTTTAGAACAGCAAATTATATTAATTTTTATAAATAAATTTTCTATCATAATAATATTAACAATAACAATGTATACATGACTATAGTGTTAGTGTTCTATATAAAATTAAGACTTATTCAATGGAAGGCAGTTTAAGGTTTTTATGAATATCTTTTATCTTTGCACTACCGTAACATATATTATTACTATACAGAACCCCATATTGCCCTTCTGTTATTGCTCTTAAATTTTGCTCTAATATTATTGTTAAGCCATCAGAGTTAGTAACTACCCGGCAAGGTACTAAAGGCTTAGTATGTTGAAATCTAAAATAGGCTTTCCATACACATTTCTTAACTAAATCTACTGGTTCTTCAGAAATCCAGTGAGGGTGGTTGGTGTAGCAAATATTATTCCAAAGGGCAGGATGTTTAGTTCCCGCAACCTGAAAAGAATATTTGCAAGTTTTGTAAATTTATTAAAAAAATATTTTTCATGTTTGTTTCTTGGGCCGACTCAAACACTACAAATGCATATGCCTATATAGATATTTGAATTTAAATTAATATAACTTGGAATTCAATATTATACTCACAACATAAATAATATTAGAAACTACATCTTTTTTAAAAATAAAGTATGCATCTTTGAAGCTTCGCAAACAACATCGTTGTCCTATTGTCCATTTATGGATACCAGTATGCTCTCCCACAATATGTCCTGTATCTATATCAATAAAGTATCCATTCTTCTCAGGAATAAACTAAAACATAGATATACAAAATTTATCATTTTAAATTCTTAAACTACCTAATAATTATGGCCTAATGATGTTAGAATGGACTATACCTCTTGAATGAAGTTTTTGAATCTCTTTTTGCCAATAAAACATATTCCTGTACTATCCCTTTTACTAGCAATATTCATAAGACCTTTCTTTCTTGCTATTTCTCTTACTTCACTTTTCAAATATCTTGCCAATGGAAACATACATCTTCTTAATGAGAATTGTTTTACTTGAGACAGAAAAAAAGTTTGATCTTTATGTTTATCAACTGGCTGTAGAAGCTTTACACCTACAAAAAAGACTTACTAAATTTTTAGGTATTATAAATATATGTGACTACACTATAGCTATAAAATATGCTAAGTGATAATAATATTGCTATTAGAATACTTACTTTCATCTTCTTTAAAATTATCTAAATATGGTCCAAAAGTTGTATTAGCATAGTGGCCAGTTGCAATGGCATCTACAGCTAAATTTTTCCTGCAATGTTCAAAAAACCTATCAAATTTAATATATCTGTTGCAAAGTATGTCCGGATTTGGAGTCAACCCTGATTCATATTCCTTTAATAAAGTTGTGAAAACATCATTCCAATATTCTTTTATAAAGTGCACTCTGTGTAAAGGAACATCAAGCTTACGACAAACAAATGAGGCATCTTCATAATCTTTCTCATCTGAACAAAAACCGACTTCGTAATTATTGTCCCAATTTCTCATGAAAACTCCTTCCACCTGATAGCCTGTTGAAATTATTATTTTATAATAATATTTATTTTTATTATTTTAAATTTTGCCTTTATACTTTCAATAAACAATTGAATATTTAAAAACATACCGGCGTTCTTTAACAAAAATGCTGCTACAGCACTATCTACACCGCCAGAAATACCCACAGCAACTTTTTTGAACATTTTGTGTTAATATTTCTTGTTATAATGTGAAAACTGAAAAGTATGAATGGGGACCCGTAATAGTTTTATGTTATAATGCAGTTTTATAGTCCTTGAGAAACTAAAACATAAAGTGCAAAAATTTTTGTTCTACGACCAAAACTGACAAAGTTATGGGCAAAATACCGAACAAGGTTTACTGACCGAGCGAATGCAAGCGATGACGTCACAATATCTCAACGCTTGTCGCCGAACCACAGCGCGCCCCGCGCTGTTTATTCTGTTCGCGATACTCGTCCAACACGGAGCGTAACGTCACCGGTTTATACCCAATCGATTAATAAGTGATTTGATTTGTTCATTATTAGAAGGTTGTTATTATAATATATCAAATGAGTGGTAGAAATAAGGTAGATATCGGTTTTGAGCAAGCGCAATCCGATAATCTACCTAAAGTTGATACCTTCATGGTATTTCATTATCTTAGTAATCATTTAAACTACACAAGCGCTGAAATTCGTGGTTGGAAACTTCAGAGGTAAGCAAATCTCACTATCAACCTAATCAAAACAGCAGGATAATAAGTAGGTCAGGAATACAGGGTCGTATTCAGGCCCGGGAATATTCCCAATAAGGTTTATGGATATGAACATGTTACCGGGAATATTCTTCTCAATGTTTCTGGGTGCATTGCCAGTCGGAAATCTTATTGGGAGTTAGTTCCTAGTATTGTTAGTAGGTAACGGCACATTGCTGGTAGGTAAGTAAGAAAAGTGCCCGACGAAATGATTAATTTCATTCCAATCTCATTGACTTGCGTATTCTTGTCGTCTAGTTTTGTCAGTGCAAATTAATATAAGAAACAAAGTAATCGGTAGGTATACTTTATTCGTTTACCTTAGATTGTTTGAACAAGCAATCCTAATGAGATCGCTAATGTATACGTATTCTAAACGCTTACGATTTTTTTTTCAGGTCAGGGCGTGAATCATATGGTGATGAAGCTGTGGAATTTGTTCAAGTGCAAAGAATAGGAGATATATGCACAGTCAAAGCAAAAATTACACCAGAACATAAAATAAAGGGTAAAGCTTATTGCTGCACATTTACTTGTGATGAAACACAAGAAATAATAGTAAACATTGAGTGTCATGATTGTGCTGCTCAACTGGGAGGTTGTAAGCACGGTGTAGCATTTCTTATGTGGCTTCACAGACGAAGCGAGGAACCATCCCCAACAGAAAAAAATGTTATTGGGCTAAGCCTAAATTAGCTACGGTGGGCACCACTTTAAAATTTATAAAGGCTAAAGATATGGGATCAGGCACACCAAAAAATCAAGATGACAGTTATGTCAAAGGTCAATTTGTAGAAGCTGTAAAAGTACAAGAAAAATCTATTCATAACCAGCTGGCAGCCTATTGCGTACCACAAAGCGCGTTAAAAAAAATGTCATTACATGTATTAATAAGTGAGTCTAGAAAAGAGGGTATAGATATAAACGATGCAGCTCATTTTATTGACTTCTGCTCAAATCGGATGACTATAGATGACTGTAGCAAAGCAGAAGAAGCAACATTATCGCAAGCTGATTCACCATTGTGGAGGGAACTAAGATACTGCAGAGTAACGGCGTCAAAAATTCACGAAGCTGCAAACTGCAAGACTGATGGTATTTTAGTTGAACAGATGTTCAGGGCATCCATACAGGAGACAGTCGCTATGGAAAGAGGAAAACGTCTGGAACCAGAAGTAAGATCAGTGGTGGCTAAACTAAAGAACAAAGTAATAGTCAATTGTGGTATATTTTTAAAACCCGAGTGGCCAATCCTAGGTGCTTCGCCAGATGGTTTGACGCCTGAGCTCGTAGTAGAGATAAAATGTCCAATGACTAAAAAAGGAAAAGAAACTTTTGTAAAAAATAATGATTTGACGAAAAAATCAAAAGCACAAATACAGTTGCAAATGCTTTTTTGTAACAGAAACAAAGGATTATTTTGTGTAGCAGATGTAGATTTTGAAAACAATCAAAAAGTGGACATACTGGAAGTGGAATATGATAACGAATACTGTATGAATCTTCTTGTGAAGGCAATAACATTTTGGAAGGAATATATATTCCCCAAACTAATTGACACATAATTTCTTTTTGTAGACTTTCTAATAGGCATTACAATAAACGCATTATAGAAGATAAAAATGTTTTTTATTTACTTTAGTACACCATTTTTTGCGCACTTTCAGGTCCCTTGGCACATTAAAAACAGTTTTTCAGGTGTACTAGTTGAAGTATTAGTACATTTCGGTACTATACAGTATTTATAATGCGGCATATTTTCACATTAAAACCACAAAACCACAACACGACCCGCGCAGATCGAGTAAACTTTAATAAATGAATGGCGGAAAGCGAGCGCGCGGGCGGTAGGGAAATCGTGACGTCACATGAGCATTTCGGCCGCCCCGCGGTTGGCTTGTACAAAATGTGTAATATCTTCGCAACCAATTTACCGATTTCAATGATTTAAAAAGTATTGTACCTAATCGACTAAAAGGAACACTAATATATAGATAATATATGCATTTTCCGACTTGTTACGGGGACCCATTATGAAATAAGCATGTTGTTGGTCTTAGATATTTATAATTTATATAATCAAAGATTTTTGGTAATTGGTTAAAAGATGGCATACTTTTAATTATTAAATGAAATACCTAATTGCGATTGGTGAATGAATTGTGACTTTTGGTTTGCCGACCTTTGTCAATATATTGTATATTGTCAAACGCTGTTTTTTTTTTAATTTTCGCCCATGGCTCAAACGCTGTGATAATAAACTAATCACAATAACAATTCACACTTCACATTTTTCTGGCAACATTTCGTAATGAAACAATTAATATATAATCCACCGGCAAGTATTATGTTCGGGGAATTCCCCAACAACCTAACGTATGCCCTAGACCTTTTACGCCTAAATCCTTTATCTTAGTTTTAAATAAATATGTGTTTCTCAGTAAGTGAATTATGTATGCAATTCTTATGAGAAATAAAGTTTTGAAGTTTTTATATGAAGTCTGTATTTGTGTGCATTGTTACAAAACTTATTATTTTTCTCTTGTAAAGAATTGTATTGGAATAGTCAAAAACCTGTTTTTCTTATCAGTCTCTAGCTCTAAGTGATTATATTATCCCCTTTTAATCTGCATATTGTCTGTAGTGGGTTTTGTGTTTGTGTGTTGTTTTCAATACGCTTAAGTAAGAATGGGTAGTGAAAATGAAGAAGAGCGACCTGCGCCAGGTACTCCAAAAAAGAAGTTAGTCAAAAGAGGAGAGCTTTCTATAATATAGAGGAACAAACACAGAGCACAGAAGTATTGTCCCGATCGGGAAAAATTTTGATTTATTTACGGACCGGTTAGGGCCCGGTAAAAACTAATTTAAAGCCAGGTGGACTGTTTGTGACGTCGAAATGGTTTTAGAATATGGAGTTTTAAAGTTACACTCTTCAAGGCAAAGGCAGCCACTCATTTTAAATAAAAACTTTCCACTTTTATGTTGTACGATCTTTTCATTTCAAAATTTCCTTGGTGTATGATTTTTTTTAATGCGTTTTTTCATCTGGCAGCCCTGCTTCACAACAATAAGCAACATGGCCTAAATCGTTAGTATCGAAGTGCTTAAGTAATGCTCGTCACGATTAGATTTTAAAAAATACAGTTAAAATATATTTCATATTTATTTAATTAAAGGACTTGAACATCGAAAATTGCATTATGATGTGGCACAACATTACAATACCCGAATACATACTGCAACGTATAAATCTCCTTTATATAGTTTTGTAAAAAAAAACTTGATCTTTAGCTGAAACAATGGTTTAGAATATAATTTTGGTTACAAGACTAAGGGCAAGATTCAATGTCTAAAACAAGAAAATAGCATTGACTGCCGTACGTCAAAAAAGGGCTAAGACTGGGTTCTAAATTTCTTCCTAAAAGTATTCCAACATTAAATAGTTGTAACAGAATTAAAGATTTTAAGTTTACGGGCACTACTGTCGGGCGTCTCGAGACGCACACATTTTTTTTTCACATTTGTAGGATGTTAAATTAAATTGGACAGTGCTCAATCTTCCTTTTCGATTGATTGTCTCTAAAGTTTAAGTGTATTTTATCTGTTTAAATTTAAAAATTATGTATTAAGTTTAATCTATAATGACAAATGACTTGACAATATCAGGTTGACATTTGTATAGAATCTCGCCGATCACCCGTCGTCGCTTTATAGTTTATGCGTGATTTGTTTGGAAGTTTTGCGGCTTGCGTTATTATACGACTATAATATACAAGAAACAATGTCGAACATTCAATTGCAATGTCTACTTGGAATCCAAGGCAAGGATTTCGTTATGATAGCTGCTGATCAGACAAACAGTCACAGTATTATGGTCATGAAAGACGGTGAGTTAGCACTTTTTCAATTAATTTTTAAAATTCTATCACCATCGTTAAGACCTTAGTTATCTTAAATGTCATAATTGCAGTGCTTTATGTCAAATACAACTCGTTCTTCTAGTGAACAATAATTTTATAGATTGATGAACCTAGAAATCTGTAGGCCAATCGTGTAGGTTTCCTCACTTTGCCGAGGTTGTTATGTTATGGCTCTCTAGTGAGAGTAACCTCGTCACAATTTTTTAGGCTTAGCATACTTAATAAATGGTCATGCAGGCAGTCCTCTTGACATAAGTCCTTCAATTACTAGTATAAACAAAGCTTTTTTTTTTTCAGATGAAGAAAAAATTTATAAAATATCCAACAAGCTTGTCATGGGAGTTGCTGGTGATTCAGGAGACACAACCCAGTTTGCAGAATACATAGCAAAAAATATACAACTATACAAAATGCGTAACAGTTATGAGCTTGGTCCATCTGCTGCTGCTAACTTTACAAGGAGATACTTGGCAGAGTACCTTCGCAGCAGTGTAAATAATTTATAAACTTTGCATTAATAAATTTTTACATGATGCAGATACCATGCCCATTACATGATATTTCTGACTGACCAGTGATTTAAAAATTTAAATTGTCCAACATGGTAAAATATATGTTGTTGCACTTAAAATACAAATTGTTTTCTTTCCAGACACCATACTTTGTGAATGTTTTAATGGGTGGTTATGATAAAGAAAATGGTCCAGAACTTTATTTCATGGATTACCTAGCTTCCAGTGTGAAGGTACCATTTGCAGCTCATGGATTTGGAGGTTTTCTCAGCTTGAGTATCATGGACCGACAGTATAAAAAAGGTAATACCAGCTTACAACTACTAGACATGTAGTTCTAGTATAACTGATATAAAATAAATGAAGCTGTGTATTAATTTCAGATTTAACTGAAGAAGAAGCATATGATATATTAAAACTATGTGTTCAGGAGGTGCATCGGCGTTTGTTTGTGAGCTTACCAAACTTTCAAGTTACTATTGTCAATAATGATGGTGTAAGAACCCTGCCTGTTATTAATTCTAAATCTTCATAATAATTTTACTAAGAATACATATTGAAAGGTGATTTTGTTTCACTTTATTTCCCCTATAAAATTTATTAAATACAAATTTAAATATAAATAATTAACTAGATATAAAATATAATGTGTATAAAGAAATTCAAATGATGTACCATTGTAAGCACTACCTTCTCCTAGTCACCTAGTGGGTCTTCTTATTAAAAGAGTGTAGAATAAGTATACCACTCACATATATCACTAGTTACATCCCATTTATTCAGTGGACTAAAGTTGCAAGCAGCAAAGTCATTCTCTTTGAAAATGATAATATATTATACATTCCAGCATCGAATTAATCATTTAGGCTATTTCACTTAACCCGTAAGCGTCAACCGCACAAATTTGAAAGCGTTCAGATGATGACGCAACGTTGCGAGAGTACCGTTCTAGTCGGTAGAATAAATGGACGTGGAAGAGGCTATGTGTTTTAAAGAATAAAAACCTTGGGTTCATCAATTTTGAAAAAAAAATACAAATTATATTATATTTTTATACAAATTTGCTATATTCACTTGCTGGCCTTTTTCTACTCGTTAGTAAGTCGATGTCAATCAATTTCACTCATTTAAATGCGAGTAAACGAAAACGGCGCGCTCATCTAACACAAACGGACATACTAATATCAAACGCGCGTAAGGCGATCACCTGCGTCTAGGACTTTTCTCTAGGCCCTACCGCGAACCCTTACGCGCGCTCATTGAACAGTTGTATGAAAACCACAGCAGTCGCGCGATTTGAAAACCCGTCAAGTTTTGCCATCTGAACATAGCCTTAATGCTTGATTAACAAAAAGAAAGTAAATTTCAATGTCAAAACAGCCAAAGTTGGTCACAACTTTACAGTTAGTGATTTTAGTTACCTACAACCTAGCCAAATTACCATTTAGACTCAATTTCTATCTGTGCCTAAAATTTACCCATGTGAATAGGCCTAGATGAGTCAATAAAAATTACATACTTTATTTTCTGATTTTTAAATAGTTTACAGAGAGTTTACCTTTTTCCATAAAGTTTTTTAGGTTTTGAGGTTGGTTTAGGTTTGATAATTAATGAATTAATTTATGGACAACATTTTATTAATTGATACATAGTTGTAATAAAAAGTTAACTTAAGTAATTGTTTTATCCCCCAGATTTAATTCTATCTGGACTAGATGGTAATGTAGAATCAGGATTTTCTGATTGAGAATTATTAGCATTTTCACCATCACCACCATTCTCTCCTTCATTGTCTGATTGGTCTGAAAGTATTTTTAAAAGAACAATATACACATTAATATAATGTTTATTGTATTTTGGCCAATTACCATCATATTATTATTTAATAATGGCATGCAAAGTTTTACTTAAGTTTAAGGATAAAATAAAACAACCTTTAACTAAACTAGTGAGTGCTGGACTTGTATAGCCTTATGTGTGATCACTTTTAGTAGCTGTTGGGAAATGTGATTGAAGATAGAAAAAATGTTGTAAATAATTTACCTTTTTTCTCAGCTGGAATATCTTCTGTTCTATTAGCAACTTGAAAGTGATATTCTAATTCATCAAAGTCAAAGACTTGGTCAGTAGGTAGTAAGCATGGCAAATATGCTGGAAAGGTTGGCTTACACGCAATCACTGAAAATCATAGAACTACATGAAAACAAGAAACAATTTCTACCAATGGGGTTTCAATTATAATAGCTGACTCCTGCCATAGCTACATTATGTGTTATCAACTTGGGTTATTCAGTTTATTAGTTCCCAGAGCTTCAAAAAATACAGGAAACAGGAAAGAATTTGAACAGACAGACCTGCCCTACATTTATTGAAAATAAAACCAGGGCTCCATTATAAATATTGTATCCAACATTGATTTAAAAATTATCTGTATTTAAAATGTTGAAAGAGTTATCCCCTTACATGGAAAAACTTGGTTGTCTTCCGTATTAAAGAGGTTGTGTGTTTCACTTGTTTTTGCAAGAAATTTTGTCAAAGCCTTCTCAATATCCCGTTTCTGATTTGCAGCTTTTTCTCTTATTGCTTCATACTCAGTCACAGGTTGCTTATGTGTCTGAAAATGGGTTCTTTAGATTTTACTATTCCTCAAACTAGCCAACCCGAAGTAATGGTTTTCACAGATTCATTTTTTTTATTTAAAATTGTAATATATGCAAGTAATAGAGAGATATATTAAGGTCAGTGGCATTATTTTATTTAAAGACAGTTAACATTGTTGCAGAAAATTGCAAATATAAATATAATAAGAAGGAATACTTACAGGTGTTCTTATGTATGCATGCGGATCAGGAAATGCTGGTAAGTGGAATGGTATGTGTGGAGATGGCTTAGCTTTTGAACCAGCTGACAACATAGCTGGTGTTCTAGGCACAGGTGCTTGTTGTGGTGGCTGAATTACATGTCTATTTGGCCTAGCTGCATATTGCTCTAAGCCTTGAAGACTTATTCCTATCAGCAATAAAAAATTAGCCAAAGATTAATGTTATATAAGTTATTTCAATTATAATAGATATTTATTTATAACTTGCCCATATTGATAAGCGCCAACATAACATCAGCCAATACAGGTTCCACTCTACCAGATAATTCACAGTAGCGATTTGCCGAGTTACCAACTTCTGTAAAAACTGAAATATGAGGAATACAACGCGTAAAGTGTGATGTGAAACAGCCATATAAATTGAAAACTTAAATCGAGTATTCTTACAGCATTGTAACATCTCCGTCAACGTCTCTAGGCTAATTTTGTCTACTGTTTCGAATCCACTTTCTAAAAGGACAGTTGATACAGCTATGTTAAGTATTCTTCTCCGAGCATCACCATTACTTTCAATTTTTTCTGTTGTCTCGGACATGATATTGATTTCACAGTGCTATAGACTTAAGAAATTAGAACTTGAAATCAAAAGCTAATTTAGGATGAAAACTTGTTTATCAATTGTTTGTCAATTTAATTTTCAACATTTGTCATGAAGCAATTTTTTTTTTTTTGGAGTGTCATGAAGCAACAGCTAAGATTATCACAGATTGTACCAAGTTTTAGTATTAACTATTAACGTCAGTCGTCAAAACAATAAAGACATCAATAGAGAGCTCTTTAGCTTGGGTTTTCACTCCCAAATTTAGGGGGAACGTGGATATTAAAAAAAAAAACTTTCATTTCTATACAATTCATATTAAGCTAACCAACAAACTAAACCAAATATAAACCCCGAGCACTATAATCATTAATATTATTAGGTCATTAATTATTGTATGTAAATGTGTAAAATGAACCCGCATTAATAAAAAAAACTATAACTGGAATGTTTGTAGAATTAATACATATTTGAAATTACCTTACAAATTGAGTGTTTTAATCGAGGTTTTTAATCTATATTTGTTGTATTATAAGAACTAGGTGTACTAGGAGGAACATAGGAGTTGGCAACACTGAGCTTGAGCCTAAATGGGGACCCGTAATGGTTTTATGTTATAAATACAGTTTTATAGTCCTTGAGAAACTAAAACATAAAGTGCAAAAAATTTTGTTCTACGACCAAAACTGACAAAGTTATGGGCAAAATACCGAACAAGGTTTACTGACCGCGCGAATGCAAGCGATGACGTCACAAGATCTCAACGCTTGCTGCCGAACCACAGCGCGCCCCGCGCTGTTTATTTTGTTCGCGGTACTCGTCCAACACGGAGCGTAACGTCACCGGTTTATACCCAATCGATTAATAAGTGATTTGATTTGTTTAATATTAGAAGGTTGTTATTATAATATAACAAATGAGTGGTAGAAACAAGGTAAGTAGGTATCGGTTTTGAGCAAGCGCAATCCGATAATCTACCTAAAGTTGATACCTTCATGGTATTTGATTATCTTGAGCTGCAAGCGCTGAAATTCGTGGTTGGAAGCTTAGAGGTAAGCAAATCTCATTATCAAACTAATCAAAACAGCAGGATAATAAGTAGGTAGGTACACATACTTGGACTAGCCTATAAATTACCCAAAAGTTTTAGGTAAGTCAGCCAGGGCAGTTGTGTTTGTTGTTTAACTACCTACGCCGTTATTTTCAACAATAAAGGGTAAAGCTTATTGCTGCACATTTACTTGTGATAAAACACAAGAAATAATACTAAACATTGAGTGTTATGATTGTGCTGCTCAACTGAGCATTTCTTATGTGGCTTCACAGACGAAGCGAGGAACCATCCCCAATAGAAAAAATTTTTTATTAGGCTAAGATATACTTTTAAATAAACAGTCCTGCAAATTGACAATACCACAGGCTATTGCCACTATATCATCCAATAGTTGAATATAAGAAATGTTGACAGTTGCATGAGGTCCAACCATTTGAAAGTCTCTTAATCTTCCAATGCTTCTTTCAACATGTACCCTCAACGCAGCAATCTTCTTTGTTTGCAACACTTCCTCTTTTTTGGATATTGAGCTTGAACTCACACTAGGTGGTCTTAAAAGCTTACACTGTTTTTGTTCTAATAAATGGGCTATATTTTGAATCCTCTGACCCCAAAACCAAACTCCCAGGTGTGAGTTCATCTAGAAATCCACAGTCTTCAAAGATTGTGGAATCTGGGGTCCGCCCTCCATACCCCTCAGAAATAAAATTAATCATTCCATCAGGTGTAATGGAAATCAGAAATTTAATGGTGTTGCAATTTTTGTATTGCGACCAAGTTAATGCCTGGTGTGTGGCATTACTTGGTTTTTGAATTTGCACCTCGAAACAATGTAGTAGTTGAAGTATATATACATTTCGGTACTATACAGTACATATAATGCGGCATATTTTCACATAGAAACCACAAAACCACAACACGACCCGCGCAGATCGAGTAAACTTTAATAAATGAATGGCGGAGAGCGAGAGCGCGGGCGGTAGGGATCTCGTGACGTCACATGAGCATTTCGGCCGCCCGCTGGTTGGCTTGTACAAAATGTGTAATATCTTCGCAACCAATTTACCGATTTCAATGATTTAAAAAGTATTGTATCTAATCGAGTAAAAGGAACACACTTATATAGATAATATATGCATTTCCCGACTTGATACGGGGACCCACAATCGCACTTGTAAAAATCCAAATTTTAATTTAAACTATACTCTGATTTTTAATTCCGTAGAATTCTGACAGATATAATTTTTTAACATGTCACAGATTTCAAACCTTTTTGGCCAGCTGGGCACATTTTTCAATTTCAATATGAGTCTGACTCTATACATACATTTTATTTGTTTGTGAATGTATTATTTTAAGAGCGGTGCTCGACATTAAAAGTGGTTTTACGGGGACTTATAATTACGTCCCTTTTCATCGTCCCTTTCAAACAGTAAAAACGCATAAGTAAAGATAACATATTTTTTTAAAGGTTTACTAAACCTGGAATTAGTAGACAGTGATGCCAGCTAAAGAATAAAATAAAGTGAATTCAATATATTGTTCGTGATACTGAAATATTTGTTATTTTTGTAATAGGTCACTTGAGTAAGTAAATATTAAGTTTTACCTTTTTGTAGGTAACACATAAAAAATACGTAGCATTTTATTTTTATAGCCCTCAAATGGTACTAACTTGTCCCTTTTTCGATGGAGAACTTTTTTAGTGGCAACATTTATGAAATGTCAGAATTCTACGGAATAAAAAATCGGAGTATAGTGTTAACTGTTAAGTGTTCGCCAAAACAAATTTTGAGTCATCAGTACTTATTCTTAAGAATTAAGTTTTTTTTTAATTATGATTAAAAGTTTTTCTACATAAATGATAGTTTAAGTAGGATATATTTCTTTTGTGGTGATAAATTAGTTTGTCACGGTTTACACACACTACTAAATTGCTACTACCTACTTTCTTGACATCACACAACTAAATTGAATATTATTCTAAATGTCTTTTCCGCCGGTTGACTATACATTTCCACCACCGCAGCTATTTGTATCCCCATCGCCAGTTACGTCTATATATGGAGAACCGCCACCTATCTCTGAAACGCCACAACAACCGATGTTCAACTATCCTCCTCCAACTTTAAGACCTCCTCCTCCGCCTGCCTATCCTATTGATATACTACCTCCTCCTTATGTGCCACCCCCACCACCCAGCTTCCCACCACCGGCATATGTACCTCCTTACCCACCTGGCTACCATAGCAATGATTATTACTATCACCAAGCAACAGCCGCTGAAAATCAATATTATCAAGATTGGAAAGCAGAAGAAATGAGCACACAAATATCACCTCTCAGAACTTTAGAATTTAAAAATCCACAAAACAAGTATGAGTATAGTTCAAGGTCTCAATATAGTCCAAGAAGAGAGAGAAGCCATGAACGAGAAAGGCGATATAGAAGTAGATCTATGCGCAGTCGTTCTCGCAGTCCCAGTTACAGAAGTTCCAGAGGTGGTGAGGAGAGATATTCTAGATCACGAGAAGATGGGAGAGACTATGACAATAGAAGATATAGAAGTGAGCGTCGCAGCTGTGAACGAGACCATAGGTCATATAGCAGGAGTGAACGAGATAGATATGAGGATAGACATAGACATTCATCATATAGAAGCCGGGAACGATCTAGTTGCTCATATCGATCATCTAGTCATAGGCCATTGACTGACAGGGAGAAGATTTTGGAAGACTATAGGTATATATATATATATGTAAATTTTATTTTAATTAAGCAAGTAGTATTTTGTCTACCAAAAACTTGTATCTTTTAGGAAAAACTATTGTAAAACATCAGAGGACTTTATAAAAAAAATGGAGAAGTGGTCTAAAGAGCACAATTCTGATGAAGAAGAGGTAAGTTATATTAAAAAACTCACTATTTTATTGTTTCCTTTCTTTTTAAATGGAAATTAATTATATTGTAATAGTAACCAGTAATGATTAAAAATCATTAAATACTTTACAGAACTCAAAAATGTGGTATAGAAGTTCACCAGCTGAGTTATATTATAAACCAATAAATGGTGGTGAGGGTGTGGAACAAACTCGTAAACTAGAGAAAATCTGTCAAAATTCCCTCAAATATCTAATACATAGAGGTCAAAAAGCACGACCTGAAGTGGATGAGTTGCCTCCGCTGAAACCGCAAAAGGCTAAGAGGTGTAAACATTGTAAGTATTATAATGTCTCTGAACTGTCCAACTGGTATTGGCCACAGAATATGTATTCAATTTTCTAATGTTTCAAATCCACTATAAATATATCTATTTTTAAATATAATATCTGAAGTATAAAATGTCATGTACCCTTTGCTGATAATATTTACTTGCAATATAAAGATATTCATGCGGAACATTGTTTCTAACAGCTGATGATGATAGCTCTTCATCATCATCTTCAGAAGAGGAGGACTGTCTAGATGAAGAGAATCTACAAGGGTATACTGATAGAATGATGTTAGAGCTACAAAGGAAGCAAAGTCATCCAAGAAGACTTCATCCAGAATTATGGTGAGTCTTTTAAAGCCATAAAGTATTTTTAATAAATTGGTTAAAAATGTGATGACGAGCATTGTGTAATAGTTGCAGCCTCTTATAAACGTTTTGTAAAACAAAAAACTCGTTGATTAAAAAATGCGATAGAGTATTGCCAGTGTTTTTTGTCTGTAATTCGCCCTTTATTTGGGACCTGGCCTTTAATGTAAATTTAGAAGTAGTTCTGTTCAATGTAGAGTATTAACGCAAGTACTGTCATTTGTATTACTGTTCGGTTCTAATCAAATTAAATATGTTTGATTTCACTTCAAAAATCACATCACATAGTTCTTATACTGATCATGTTTGTTGATGGTGTAGTCCATAGAAGTAGCCATTTGTATGCTCATTATTTTATTCATTAATTTTTAATGTAATTACAAATGATTATTATCATTTTTCTATGTATGTTTTGCATACTTATGATTAATGGACAATGTACAATGGTATTTTCTCTTCCTTATAAAAATAAACATTGTTTTTTTAGGTTCAATAATACGGGCGAAATGAATGGTGGCCCATTATGTAGGTGTAGCGCGAGAGCACGGCGTTTCGGTATACGACATGGAGTTTACGCTGCCGAAAAGCAATTCCCCAAATGCGTGCCCATGCAAAGTAATATTGATAGGCTGTATCACTATCGGTAAGCATACGAAATAATCCCCTTTAAATTATCAATTAATTTCTTTTCAAAATATACAGTACAACCCATTTATGGCGCCATAGGTCTTGGGCAAACATGGAAAGTCTGTACATATATTTTGCTATCTATTTGTTTTATTTATGTATGCATACAATATAGATTATTTATATAAATTTTGCATAATTGTATTCCTAACATAATTCATAAATTGTTGTGATTCATGTGCCCTTTTCTTTGTCTGTATTTGTTTTTTGTAGTATTGTACTTCTTGGTTTACCCTATTTTTGTAACTTAAAGTATTTAAGCATGCGCGAATTAGAGATCGCTTAAAAGCGAATAAGGCCTTAACATTCCTTTTTATAAGTGTTATCATTTTACTGATATTGAATTGCAATGAAGAATTAAATAATTGAATATAGCTAAGGCACAGATATTAAATAAAATTCTTAATTATGCGACAGTTAGAATATACACAATCCACGATTACAATAATTGCTATTACCAGAAATAACCATATTTATTTGCCACCGAAACTTACGAGAAATACAATTATGCATTTCATACATTTACCTATCTAGTTTTAAGTTTGCAGAAGATGAAAACCCGTGCCATAAGTCCAACCTATCATTTGCACGACAGAACAAAAATCAGTTGGCACAATGCATTTAAATATTAAAGTAAATTTTAGTAGACATTAAAGAATTGAAAATTTTTGGTATAGTTAAAAACGTTTTATTAGAATTATATGTAAACTATAATTGTTGAACATTAAGGTGAGTTTCAGAAACGACTCCCCTATGTCACAATCCTAGACATTGTTGACGTACGGGAGTTGACTTAGCGCTAATTCTCGTTTCTTAATCTCTTAATGTTTAACCAACGGTATTCGTTATCGAAATGTTAGGGTGTGTCCACATCTGGCGAATATGCCGCGAATGTACAGCTTGCGAGCTGTTTGCAAGCTGCGCGTTTTTGTTCGTGTGCCGCTCCTGCGCCGCCCGCGCGCATTTCGCTCGCAACCTCGCTCGCCGTACGCGATCAGCGCGCGGGCGGCGTGCTAGTACTGACTAATGAGCCAGTCAACGGAGCTGTAATCGCGAGAGTTGAGTGCGCGCACGCCTTAGACGACCCTTGCATGAGTTACGCTAAAGAGGCGCACCAAACCATTGCCGTGACAGCACGCGCGCAGCACATTCGCGGCATATTCGCCAGATGTGAACGCACCCTTATGTCCCCTGAAACAGGATAAATATAGCATCTTTAAATATATGGGCGAAAGAAGAAAACTGGACAAGCGTTAAACATTTCTAGTTTATAAAAATATTTTTTTGGTAATCTTTTAAATTAGTAAAACTATTTGGAATGTTTTAATGTTTTAGAATAACAGTGTCGCCTCCCACCAATTTCCTCATAAAATCACCGACGATTATAAGTCACGACGAACACGAGTTTCTATTTTCTGGCTTTTCTATGTTTTCCCATTATAAACTGGCGAAATTACCCACGTGTAAAGTAATAAGGTTCAATATTGAATACACTATTTTATACATCGAGGAGCCTGCCCCGAAGAATTTCACTATTCAGGAGTTGGATTTGTTTGGTATGTACAATTTTATTCCATTTTTTACTTTGTTGAAAGGTGGTTTTTAAATATGTGTGAATTGTTTTTTTTTTAGATATTGTTGCGTTTGATTTTTCCATAAGAGTGTTAAATTCAAATTAATTTAGGTAACACAATGTACACTTATGATTGTCAATAAAGAAATACATATTTAATGCTTCTAATTTTACCTTTACTGCCAGTTCTCAAATCAAAGGTGTGGAACGGACGAAAAGAACTGGCAATAAACTCTCCGCCACTCGTTTTAATCACCAAGTTTTTTGTTTTACCCAATGTTTCTAAGGAGCTGCAACCATTACACCATGTTCCATATGACATATTAAGTAATTAATAATATTTTTTTTTAATTAAAAACTAAGATTTGTCCTCTATCAGCAGTAGGCGTTACCTCATTATACTGGAGCAAATCATAAATCGCTATGCATTAAAGTATTTCTTTGTAATATCAAACACTTGAAATTTTCAAGCGTTTGATTTGTGTGTCTTTTTAGGACTAAGATTATTTTTTTACTTCAAAGAACAATTTTTTTTGTAAAAAATCTTGATGACGTCAAATTTTTTATTTTTAGTTTAAGGGTCAATTTGTATATATAACGTAAATTGGTTAAGAATAAATACAATTAATTTGAGGAAAAAATAAGTAAAGTAAAAAAAATCATTTAATCATATAGGTAACATCATGTGCACTTATGACTCGTCAGTAAAGAAATACATATTAATGCTTCTAATTTTACATTTACCGCCAGTTCTCAAATCAAGGGCGTAGAACGGAAGAGAAGAAGTGGCAATAAACTCTCCTCCACTCTTTTTAATCGCCATTTTGTTTTTTTTTACACAACGTAAGGAGCTGCAACTATTACACCATGTTCCACATGACATATTAAGTAATTAATAATAATAACATAAAATAAAAAAAAAGCAGACTTGTCCTCTATCAGCAGGAGGCATGGTGAAATAGGAGCACGCACTTATTTTTAACTTATTACAGAGGAGTATTTGTTCAAAGAATTATTGGAATTAGTCGATTTGGATCTCGGTAAAGGAACTGACACGAGTTGTTCACAATTTCACTTTATGCCGAGATTTGTACGATACTTGCCGGAGGGTGGTTGTGAGGTATGTATACAAACACAGTTTTGTGTATTTTACAGCAGTTAATAAAAAAAATGTTATGACAGCCGTTGTTTTGCTGTGCATTTGCGATGTTTTTAGACCATTTTTTTTTTATAAAAATGGTTACCAGGGCTTAACAATAGTCATAAAATTGCCAATCATCAAATCGTAAAATTACCTTCACCGAATCTTACCACCGTCTTTGAAAACCGACTTTAATGATTTTTTGTGTCCAAGTGGATTCGAAAAATGGTTTAGATTTACAATTAAAGGGTTTTTTGTTTAAGATGTGTGTACAGGACAATATCTGTAGGGTCCATGTATAAAATTCTCGTGTCACAATGTTCGTTCCCATACTCCTCCGAAACGGCTCGACCGATTTTTATGAACATTTTTTATGCATATTTAGTAAGTCTGAGAATCGGCTACTATCTATTTTTCAAACCCCTAAATGTTAAGGGTGGTCACAGGGCCACACCGCTACGCCCGAATGGCACCCTATAACTCGAAGTAATTGCGGTGCGGCGCCGCACCGCACCGTTACCGCATCGTGTGGCCGCGCTCTAAGATCGCCCATTTATTTCCTTCGTATTTTATATTCATAATAATCCTACTAGAAAATTAGAAGATTCCAGACTAATTACGATTTTAATTTGATTACAGGTTTTATCAATGTGTGAAGTACTGAGATATTTGATAGAGGAAAGCAATTTGTTAATACCACCAGAATCGCTTGAAGACGTGCACAGAATGGATCATTATCATTGGCAGAAGTTCGTTGATAAGATAAAAGGTATTTGTCAAAAAAGAAATCGTTTCGATATAGAGAGCGTTATACAGAGAAATCGTATTCACTATTTTATTGCCAATACTGATATATAATAGCTAATGTTTGGGATTTTGTAGAGGGTAATCTCTGGATCTACTGAGAATTTTGAAAATTCTTCTACCAATAAAATGCCACGTTATTTATGAGTTTCATAGACTTTCGTGTTAGTCGTATTTGCAAAATATTCCGGAGAAAAAAGGGTCAAACGAAAACGATTCTTACGTATACTTCCTTGTTCAGTGTATAATTTTTCAAGCTTGACGGGTCACGGTTGCCCGTGTGAAGCCGGAGTAGAATTTAAATAGTTAATAAATGAAAATGCTTATTAAACTTTTTTCATAATAGTCATATTTTTTAAAGCTTGCTATACGAACAAATAAATGACACAATTTCTATTCGAACGAAGCTGTCGTTATTATGCCTGGCTGCCTCTCCCAACTAAATATACACAAAAATCATAAAAATCGGTTGAGCCGTTTCGGAGGAGCTTAAATAAGGACTGCTGATGTTTTCTATACATAAGTATCGTTACTAATATATAACGATATCTAATCAGTTTTAAGGGTCAATTTTAGTCTTTCATTTGTAGGAATGATAGTGACTTATCCGGGTAGAAAACCCTGTTCGGTCCGCGTGGATCAAATAGATCGAAGTCCACCCTCGAACGTCAATGACCCTGACGACGTTAAGAAGTTTTACCCTGAAATCGTACATTTTGGGATAAGGCCCCCACAATTGAGTTACGCTGGGAATCCTGAGTAAGTATCTTAATCGCCTACAAATCGTGTAATTTTGGTAATTAATATTTTTAATGAGTAGATATGTATTTGTTTGCAGGGTCAACACAAAATTTGGTTAAAGTTGATTAATGTTAATGGTGATAAACCAAGTTTATGAACGTTGACCCTGCCAAAATTAAACTGCCGAAATTAAAAAACTAAAATGTTGTGGTGTTATATTGCGATTGAATAATAATTGTTCGAACATTTTTTAATCAAATATTAACATTTTTTAAAGACATCAAGCGCACGAATAAATGATGTACATTTACTCGTGCGTTGTCAAAATATCATCAATAATTCTACATTTAAGGTACCAAAAAGCATGGCGTTACTACGTAAAATATCGCCACTTAATAGCGAATATGGCTAAGCCATCTTTCACTGAAAGGCAAAAGCTCGCAGCAAAAGAAGCGAAATTACAAGAAATGAGGACGCAAAGTAAAATGAAGCGTGACGTCACTGTAGCTATATCCTCGGAGGGATTCCACACTACAGGGCTTATGTGTGATGTTGTACAGGTGTGTACTATTATTATTATACAGGGTGGCCAAAAAGTCGTGGATCAAACGCAAATAGGGGATAGATGAGGTCATCAGCTGCAAAAAATTGTTCTACGGGAAGTCTCTAAACTGCAGAGTTATAATTTATTTTGCGATTTTATAAAAAAATTGACTTTTTTTACTAATTCTTATTAAAATTCGAAAAAATCTACACCCTGTATCTTTTTCATAATATTCACTAGATTGGTACTGATGAGTTCTTGCGTTAGACATACTATTTATGGTTGTTTATTGAGTGTATTGAAGATAATATTAAGTTATAAGATATTTCTTTTTTTTCAATCATAACTTTTTGTTTACTTCGGAAAAAAAAGTACTCTACCGAAAAGTGACCCTGTATTACAAGTTTTGGCGCATTTAATAGGGATTCTGAAAAGGTATTACACATGGCCATGAGTCGCTCTAACATCTTTCTTAGAGAGTAGAGACCTCCCGTAGAACAATTTTTTGCAGCTAATGACCCTATCCCCTATTTGCGTTTGATCCACGACTTTTTGACCACTCTCATATTTCAAATAAACGTTCTGCGAGACTCAGAAGTAACCTTTCGAGATTAAGAAACAAGCTTTAGTGCGAACTATGTCTATTATATGTCAAAATCCTATATGTTTTTGACGTGTCGTACTTAACTAAGTCTTGACTTTGAATCGAACACTAACACTTAATTTGATTGACGTTCTAAAATACGGGTATTTTAGAACGTCAATCAAACTAAAATCTAGTTTCAAGAGTGAAACCATTATTTCTGTATTTAGTTTGACATATGCCACTGGCTGAATTCACAAGGGTAAAAGGTTTTCATAAATTGTTATAAAAAGGTTTAGGTTTTTTTGTTTTTTTTTTTTATATTATTTTTTTAGTTTAATTTTTATATTTATAGATTGGCTATTGTATTAAGAAACAAGTAACTGTATAGGAAATAAAGAAATAAAAATAAAATATTTGACAGCGCTCAAAACGGTATTGTACAAGTTACAATATACGAATTAGGATATGGACCTAAGTTTATACTAAGTGCTTAGATGTACTCTGTGCTTAAGTGGCAGAAAACTTACTACAAACTTACATAAGCTTAGGAACCTGGCCACTTATAAAATTAATAATTTCATCATAAACTATTTCTAATATAAATTTATAATGAATCTGCCGTTGTCTATGGAGTAAAAAATGTTAGTTGTTAAACGTATGCGTCTAATTAAAAGCGGTCACTTATCGAAATTTCATTCAATATTTATCGATACTTCAATTCGTATCTCAACATACAATTTCGTCTTGGGCACACAGCTCTTAATACAGAAAAACTAGAAACTAGATTTAAGTTTAATTTTCGGTTTTGACTTATATGTTTAACCGACGTAATTGTTATTAATTTCGTAAACATAAATTATATATCATATACTAAAGATGTAGAAAAAGATGAAATATATTATAAAATATATATATATATATATATAATATATTATGTACATTTTTAGCACGCCATGTTGATACCGGTACTCGTCCGCCATTTACGATTCCACAAATCGTTGGACAGCCTAGAAGAAATAATAGGGTACAAGTTCAATCAACGCGCGTTGCTCCAAACGGCGTTAACTCACCCATCGTATAGGGAGAACTTTGGGACTAACCCAGATCATGCTAGGAACACCTTAACTAATTGCGGCATACGGCAACCGGAATATGGAGATCGGAGGATACATTATACTAGGAAGAAAGGTAATGAAATCCATTCTTATAAACAGTTTTTTTTACAAATGGGGGCAAACACCCCCATGTGGAACGGTCATAAAAAGTAAAAGCAACTACCGTAGCCCATGGAGATTCATGCGCTGCAGGTCTTTTAAACTGTCATCACTAGAGGGCGCTTAGAGCTGTTTTATAAAAAAATATTTTCCCAGAAGATGGCTTTAGTCTTTGAAATTAACAATAGGAGTTGCAAACTGGAAATGATGTAATATAATTTGACAGATTTGAGTTTTAAGAAATTAAATGCATTTATTATATCCGTTAAAAAAAGTTTAGCTCAAATGATAGTTTACCCTGCATTTTATTATACATTATCAAGAACGTCATAGCTACCTTCGCATTATATATTTTACTAGCAGACCGGCCAAGCGTTGCTGTGGCTAAGGTTATGGGGACCACCATGCTTTTTTGGTGGTAATACCATTAAATTGTAGCTTATTTGAAACGTTGGTACTTTCAACACAGCGCCATCTGTTAGAATTGTGACTATCAAATAATAAACAAATATTTTACAACAAAATAATATTGAGGGTATAAATTGAGATGTAAGCTATCCTATCTTTTAAGTTAGATCAAACTGCACACGGTGTGCAAATTTGATTGAAATCGGTTCGGTAGTTTAAGAGTCCATAGCGGACAAACAACGTGACACGTAATTTATATATATTAAGATAACAAATTTTTTTTTTAGGTATCGTGACCCTTATTAACATAATGTCCCGTTTCGGTAAAAGCAATGAGACGGAATCGGAGATTAAACATAATGAACGTCTGGAATTCTTAGGAGATGCAGTTGTAGAATTCATATCTTCTATTCATTTATTTAAAATGTTCCCGGGATTATCTGAGGGAGGACTGGCTACTTATAGAGCTGCCATCGTTCAAAATCAACATTTAGCGCTATTGGCTAAGGTAAAATGTTTTGGCAATAACTTATGTAACTGTAACAATTGTTTTTATTTAATGGCAAAATTTGATGGCATTGTGAGTGATAGCCATTTGAGGTACATTTTTGGTCCTTCGAGCCAGACACATAAATGGTGGAATCTTCACGTACGGACAAGAATACTAATTATTTATTTATTGTTAAAGATTACTGCAGAAATTCTAACACATTTTATATTTTTTAAGTTTATTCAAATATTTGTAACATCTGTCACATAATACTTTTTTTTTAAATTATATTGAATCTTATATGTGATTTCTGGTAGAAGTAAAGACATTAAAATTAATTTAAGACATGATGTTTCAGAACATGGGCCTAGAGCAATACATGTTATACGCCCACGGATCCGATTTATGTCGTGAAGTGGTGATGCGTCACGCGATGGCCAATTGCTTTGAGGCGCTCATGGGCGGATTGTTTCTCGATGCTGGCTTAGAGGTATTCGTATTTTTAAAACAAACAAGATATTTAATTCTATCTATGCATATCGCACCCCTAATAATACAAGGGCATATTTTGATCGAGAAGAAGTTGGGGGTTATCGCATTTAAATTTTTTAAATTGTGCTTGGTGAATAAAATGGTTTTTATTTAAGCCATAATTATGAAACTTTACAAATCCGTTCTTTGATAATGGTTTACTTTAGGAAGCTTGAAAATTAATTTCAATAAATTCGATTGATGAAAGAAAATTATTTAAGTTGGGCCCATATAGTACAAAAAATATAACAAACATTATGGAATTTACATAATCAGTCCGGAAGATCCCTCTGTAACGAGTGCAGTTTTCGGAAATTTAGGGATCTATACATACAAGACCTAAAAATTAACTACAACTTCTTTAATAAAATCCCAGAGGCTCAATTTTTATTATTGAATTAAATTTATAGAGAGATTAGAGATCTCTGCCTTTTAATAAATTTAAGAAATGTATTAAAGAAAAGCTGTAAAGTGTAAAAAGGCTTACTATAAAGTTAACGATTATCTAGTTGATAAAAGGGCCTGGGACTAGTGCTAGACAGGCTACTTCTAATTAATTTGCGATATTTGTTTTAAAATAAGTGTTGTTTGATGATTTGCTATTAAAGAGTACCGAGAGTTTTTTACGCCGGTTCTTCAAAATATATCACTTATTCCACGTCATAAAATTCAAATTTAATGACGTGGAATAAGTGATATATGTATCTTATGTTCCATAATAAAAAGTGTTTTTTTTATAATTTATCAAATCAAACACGAATTGTTCCTTAAAATTCTAAACTGTTGTAACGGAACTCATTTCTTTTAGAAGCGTACAATCACTAATCTCGCAACGTTTGACCAGTCTAAGTTATTTAAATATGGACACTTTACTAATTAGTTACTTGTAGTAACGTAGTAGTAGGATCGAGGGAAGCGTGGCAGGGGTGTGCCGAGTAAGAGAGGCACAAATATGTTTACCTAGTTATTATTGTCCTTTTACTTTCTCTCTCAGTTCTTTTTTTAAATTTTCTTTTGTGCCCTTAGCATATAAAATCTTGTAATAATGTCCTTGTATTAATTATTAGAAGGCGATATATATTTTTGCAAATCATTATATCCATCTTCTTGCATAATATTTTTTGCATTTGTTTCAAGACTAATTCAAAGTGATAAATGTTGGTAAACGTATACTTTGTTATAGAATATTTTTCTAATCGCTTGTGTGAGTACAGAGATATATCAATCTATATATTTAGGTAACAGACCGTGTATTTGCTCAAGCTCTGTGGCACAACGAACCCAATTTATATGAAATATGGATGAAGGAGCGGGCGCACTCGTTGCAAGAACAAGAGCCACTAGGAGATCGACAATACATCAAGGACTTTGAATTTCTACAGAAGTTAACTGTTTTTGAGGAATCTATAGGTAAATTAAATATATTTTGATTTTGATATTGTGAATTTTAACGGTCATTTACTGGCTATAATTTTGGTACGTGTTTATATTTTCCTTACTGCTGGTAGAGGCTTTTTGAAGTTATACTTCTTTAGGCGCGTTATGAAGAATTGATGAGAGTGAAATTTTACGATGCGCGCGCACCGTGACACAAAATTAACAGAATGAATTTGCCCACGGAAGATGCTACGCCATTGGACATAATTTAAAAACAACATTCGAATAATTATAGAATTTATGTTACACTTAATGTAAGAGAATAATAATCAATATTAATTTATTTAATTTTTCAAATGTAAACTGAACTTTATTGACTATAATGACTCCTTTTCCAGTCTTTAATTATTTAATTGTAATTATTTATTTGCATGCAATCAAAAACTATTTTTAATAATGCCAAAGAAGTATAACTTCTTACGCGCGTACATAAGTACACGCACCCTTTTTTTATTATTGCCATTCAATGCCATATATCATGTGAACTACTGTAATGTGCAGCTCCAGCTTACAAGCTAAAAGCAGCTTACTTGGCTTAAAAGGAATGACAGAGAGTTTCTGCCTTTTTCTTGCTAAGAATGATTAAATTTTGTTTTTTTATATCTTTTCTCGATAAGCTCCAACAAAAACACCAAAAATCATACAGATCTTGGTTGTTTAACCTTGGTTGGTCGATTCTCCCTTTATGTCGGAGGAAGAGCAGTACCTTCATTCCTCCCCAAGTTTTTTAATTCGAATAAGTTCTTTATAAGAGTAGCGCCTTAAAACAGGTTATATTAAAATGATAGATTGATTATTTGTACGTAGGTGTGAAGTTCAAGCACATCCGTCTCCTAGCCCGATCCTTCACAGACCGTTCTGTGGGTTTCACGAACCTTACGCTGGGCTCCAATCAGCGTTTAGAGTTCCTCGGAGACACTGTACTCCAATTGGTCGTGTCTGATAAGCTCTATCGCCATTTTCCTGATCATCACGAGGGACACTTGTCTGTGAGTATTATTCGTTATTTGTCAAACGCTTGTGTGTGTATAAGAGCGCGGCCACACGATGCGATAACGGTGCGGTACGTCGCCGCACCGCAATTACTTCGAGCTATAGGGGGCTATAGCTATCGCGCGTTGCGGTGTGGCAATATATTTTACCCCTCCCCGCATCGTCTCGCAAGTCACATCTCCGGCGCGCTTGCAGTGCATTGCCTAATTTGTATGTAGAATAACGTTGCGGCACCGCTCCGGCGCCGCACCGCACCGTTACCGCATCGTGTGGCCGCGCTCTGAGTGTTGCAAAAAACAGATATTTTCTCTTTTAGAATAATTGTTTTAAGTTTAAAGTAACATTATTTCCACTAGGAACGTTATAACTTCCATGTCATGTTCATCAGATTTAGACAATATTGTGATTATTTTCTTATAATTGTTAGCATGTTCGACCACATCATGAAGGCATACCAGGTGAGGCAGAGAATATTTTTGTGCTTATCGTGCTTAGTGACACTTTAATCTTTCGATCAAATGCCTGCCGATCTTTGTAGTAGCCCGTGAATGAAGTATGGGCAATGTATTTCTTTTAACTGCATAACATTTCACATTTTCCAGCTACTCCGATCATCCCTAGTCAACAACCGTACCCAAGCGATGGTTTGTGATGACTTAAATATGTCGGAATACGCGATTTACAACAATCCAAAAGCCAAACCGACGGCTAAGAAGCATAAAGCTGACTTATTAGAGGCGTTTCTTGGGGCACTTTATATTGATAAGGTAGTACTCGGATATCTGGTTGAAGTTTATTCATTTTACTCTAATGTATACGAAATAATTTGATACTAAAGGAATCTCAATGCCTACTAATGTTGTTTTTTTATGAAGTCTATTTTTTTAGAGCAAAATGCGAATGTAAAGCAATGTGTATATTTGCAAATTGCAAACAATTGTTTAAATGTTACTACTATTTCTCGCTCTACTTGCAGTATTATGTATATACATATAGAGTATATGTATATAAGAGTATATGAGGGATAAATTTAAAATTATGTTAAATAGTTGTAAATTTATAATAATACATAACTTCAATCCGGTCAAAATAGTGTTTTATTATATATAGAGTATTCAAATATTTAACATACTATAATTTTTTTGCCGTATTTGTGATCTGTGAGCAAATAAACATACTCTTGGAAGGTTCGTGGGTGCGTTGCCGACCCTTAGAGAATTAGTATACTCTTTTCTTGAATGACAGTTTGTTCCACAGTGACAGGATACAAAAAAAAAAATTTTTTTCCTAAGAGAATACGTTCCTAAGTGAAAAGTTAATATTAAATCATAATTTTTTATCCACCACCCTAAACGTTCCAGAATTTGGAGTATTGCCAGGTGTTCTGCGATGCGTGTCTGTTCCCTCGTCTTCAGGAGTTCATAATGAACCAAGGCTGGAACGACCCCAAGTCGAAACTGCAGCAGTGCTGTCTCACTCTGCGATCTATGAAGGGAGGGGAACCGGATATACCATTCTACAAGTATTTATTTTTATTTACGCATTTAACCCGAGGACCTGGGTTCTAATCACTACCAAAAGTTCGGGATTGCCAGGGATAATAATTGTTTATTGCCATAAATTGCTTAATTTTTGTTTATATAATAATATTTTGGTTTTAATTAAAAATTGTTAGGTTTCCAATATTTTTTGAATATTTCGTTTGCGTCCATTAAATTACATCTGAATATCTAGCCGCTCTCACAGTGTCACGAGTAAGCCTGTTTTCCCCGTTACATGTTTATAACCATGTTTTAGCCACGGCCTATGAACCAAAAGCATAATTTTATTTGAACATGTGATAATAAAATGCTAAGTTTAATTTTAATATTAAACGTTTTAGAGTGATCGAATGCCTCGGCCCAACAAATACACGCGTATACACAGTGGGCGTGTACTTCCGCGGACGAAGACTGGCGGCGGGACGTGGTCACTCCATACAAGAGGCCGAAATGAACGCGGCTAAAGAGGCATTAAGCTGTGCTCACGGTATGTATCTGTCTCTTTCTAAATGTCGTCGTCCTACTCGCGCGTATGGTGTCGCACTGTACGTAACAGGGTACGTATATTTGTCTCTCTCTCATACTAGTTTGATATATTCGCTTGTGTAGAAATTTTATTTTATGAATTGTAAATTTTTTTGTTACTACGTAAGTATTGCCGTCATCGTGAGAAGATATAATTTTATTTTAATTATGATTTGTTTATACGATGAACTTTGAAAAAAAATTAATAAATTATTATGGGTTTAGAAAATAATGATCAACGTACCTATATTATATTTGAATTATAAAATTTTGAATATGACAAAACTCTTATTCTTTTTTTTTAATGTTTATATTAATTTTGAACCTTACTACAAGTTAGTCTATAAATAATATTAATTTTAATTAAAATACGTTTAGTCTTTATTTTATGCTATCAAAGGACAGGCTTAATCCGGGGTTTAACCGGATTCCCGGATATAGTACTTAAAATACTTGGGTTATCAAAACTTGATTTCCCATCAAGGTATCGTATAAAGTATAAACCCACGAAAAATATGGTTTCTTTAGGTGATTTTCAAAAAATTCCAGAATTATTTCCACAATTGGACCACCAAAAGCGCGTAATTGCTAAAAGCATGCAGCTTAAAAAGAAGCGTCAAAAACCCGACCTATTCATTAAAGCAGAGGAAGACGTACCAAAAGCATATAGAACTGACAACAAATTGGAAGACAGTTCTTCCGAAGAACCGGCTTCGGATGCGGAAGCACCGAAATCTGATGATGATAAATCTGACGATGAGAAATTTGATGATGAAAAATCTGACGATGAAAATGAGAAAGCTGGTGAAGGTTGCGGTCTGGAAAGTGATGAAAATGCAGATAAGTATGAGAATGTTCAAGTGAGCAGTCTTTTAAGTGATATGGAGAAGCTCAAACAAGATTTAATAGATAGGAATGAGTATGACAAGTTAAAGGAGAAAATGTGTAAGAAGTGTGATTCAGACTCAGATTAAATACTAGAAATGTCGACCATTTATTGTTAATTTCATTTAACTATATAAATACCTAATAGTTTGATTGCCATCGATTTTCTTTTACATTTGGCAACAGTCAGTATAGCTGTTGTGTAGTAGTTAATCTATGTTTGGTCGTTACATCCATTATTTTTATACTATTCATAAAAAATAAATCAATTTACCCGTTTTAACTCATTTGTCTCTGTTGATCATGACGTAAATATAATGTGATAGAAAGAGACGCAATACGAATTCGTGCTGGGGATTCTATTTATTAATTCTATAAATAATATTAATTTCGAGATCTGTCAAACTATGCTCTTGTTAATAAAATTATAAGCATTCACTCACTCAAATTATGGTTATTCTATGATAAAAAGAGACAGTATTAATTACAAAATGAATTGTAAAGATATAATATGAGGGAACTTTTATTTCTAAATCAGTGAGTTTAAATTTAGCTGATATCTTGTTACTTTTGCTGTAGATAAAATCAATTACCTATTTTAAGGCCTAATTATCTTGTATACTTCCTTGTTAACAATACATTAGTCTATCGTTTTAACTAGTCACCTGTCTCTTTTCATCAGAGCGTAAACACAATTTGGTGGAAAGAGGCGAAAGAGCTGAGTAATGTAAGTTGTAAGGGGTTCAAATAGGATAGTTTAGTTTTTATGACTTCGGGAAATAGTGTACTAGTAAGGGGCCGTCCGTAAATTACGTGAGGTGATTTTTTAAATTTTGGATCGAAATAGGTAGCGATCCAAAGATTTCAATTAAATTTCGTGAAAATTTGAATCGATTCGGTTCGCTAAATTTTGAAAAATCTCAAAAATAAAATTGTCAAAAAATCGTTTTTGTTTTGAATAACTTCTAAACAGCTTTACCGATCGAATCCAAAAAAAAAAATTATTAAGTTTGAAAAACCACGTCGATTGCCACCAGTCCCGTCAAAATCGGTTGATTCGTTGGAGAGTTATCGAAAACGAAAAATTTCCAAATTCTTCGTTCGATCGATTTAAACTTAACAATCCGTTATGAGGTTTTAAAAACTGCGTCGAATGCCACCAACTACGTAAAAATCGGTTCATTTATTCAAAAACTATTATATTGCGGTTTGAAAATTCAAAAAATAGTGTTTGATCAAACATCTATCAGACTTTTGAGCTCGAAGAGCTTAAAATACAATAAGTGAAATGTTAGCGGGAAGTTGCAGATATGGCCTTTAGGGTCAACCGTTTTCCTAAATAAAATTTCAATAAAAAAAAATTGCGTGATATTTGCCGAGACCCCCCCTCTCTCCAACGTAATATTAACTGAGATTTGACTTGACCCCCTCCCCCCCTTAAACACCTCACGTAATTTATGGACGCCCCCTAAGTGGCATTTCCTAAAACTGTGATAGGTCTAAGTTTGGTTTTTAGGTAATTTTTTATCAATGTTAATAGCTATTTGTGTATGATGGCATCTTAGCAAGATATAAATACTTGGATTTTGACTAACGGTCAACTTGAACTGAGTTTTAATATATTCAGTTTGAGATAACGTGACCTGAGGTTAAGTTCAGGTTTTCTGAAGTTGAACTGGTTTTCGACGGATTTTCGGGATTTTCGTGTTGGAGCGTACTATGTGTTTTACAGACGACGCTCCATAACGATTTGCTTCAGTACGAAGACGACGAACAATTAGTGTGTAAATGACTAATCAAATAAACTTTTATGCATATGAACTTTAATTGTTTTCATTAAAGACTTGTTAGTGTTTGAATTGATTAAATATATTTAACTTTCTGGATAATATTGTCTTTTATTTTGATTGTAACGACTCCCTTTTAGTAATAAAGGAAAGCAGCATACTGATAATTTTTCCTTTTAGGAATGTAGCTAACGTTGTGCTTTAGCCGGAACTCAAGCGATATATCGCTACTACAACAACGTTTACTAACATTAAGGCCATCTCAAGCTTGTACGACGAATTAGTTGGAAGTATGTTAGAGTTTAACTCGTCTGTTTGGGCTCCGCATGAGCTGGCCTACTATATACTTAAAGTCTTGCGATGGTGAGCATCCTAAGTGTTCTCCAAGAACTCGGTTTCTTTGTACTGAGGGGCGTTGTATGCGTCAACATACTGAAAGCTACATAGACAAAATCTATTGTATTTGTATAATGTACCTTACCTAACCTGCTACCTGCTTTTTTTCATAATATATGATTTGTAATGTTTTAAGGAAGTTAGGGATGGTACAGAAACAATAATAAATTTAGGATTTCTAAATCTTTATTCTTCTTTAAATCAAATATATAAAATTAAACATATGTATTTTAATAATAGCTTAAAATTGGTTATTCGTTTTATATTGAAATGTTATTGGGATAAGGCGGAAGAAATATTATAAAGTGCATAATAACAATATCGGCAATATTTTAGAAGGATGTACAATTTTAGGCCTAATTCAAGCAAAACCGTGAGATTAATATAAAACTAAGCAACAAAGGGTGAATGCAACGGGTCCACTTAGTTTGTTCGCACGAAGCGTCAACCATTGCTTTTGATTAGGAACATACATCTCTGCGGGCATCATCTGATCAGGAGTTTCGTTGTCTGAAAGATAAATAATAGACGTTTATAGAGTTTCTATACACCTCTGTCCTCAGTTCCAACAGATAAACCTTAGCTACGTTTAATCAAAATATTATTTAGTTATGTGATCTTATCATTTTAATTATTCGATAATGGTATGTTATTTCGCCATTTATAACTAAATCGACAACGTTTTCAAATACCCCAAAGACAATGCAAGGTCGGCGATTTATTGGTTAGTTTCATTATTGAGAGTTATAGCACAGATTATGCAAGTAAGTTATTGTTATGTCGCGGTACATTTAACTATTTTATTCATTTCAGTTAACGCCAGTTGCGAAGTATGTTAAAAAAAATCACTAAAAATCTTACCGTCTTTCCGTATTTTCGCTGACGGCATAGTAGATTCTTGCATTGATATTAAATCTCCTGGCGCATGTAACAACAGCCTACCGACACCTTCACATCGCCTAATAGCAAAATATAATAAAATAGCTTGGATCAATAAACAATTTATATAATTAGAGGAGCTAGGAATAATAACAGCAAATAAGATTTATTCTAAATTTTAATACAAAATATATTTACGTGTCAAACAAAAGATCACGTTAAAAATAGTCATATAAGACTGAAGCAAATCCTTTTTTAATCGCTAATAATTACATGTCTAAAAGTAATTGCATACTTAAGATAAAAAAGATTTTCGATAGCAAAACGACATTAAAAACAATTAAATGAACCCTTAAGGTTAGGTTATACAAAAAATGATTACCTTAAAACTTCGTTTTGCAACATTTGTTTTCTTGCTGTTGTAGTCAGTAGTTTACATTCATTTAACCAAACACGAACCTCATTGAAGTCTACTAATAATTGTTCTGCGGCCACTTTACTGAAAATAAAAATTTATAAAGGCGTTATTAAACAACATCAGCCTCTAAGCGTTGGTCATGACTCATGAGCCCCTGTTACAGAACTTACAGATCCAAGGTTTCTGACAAAACTAATTGTTTCGCATTGGACATAAATCAAAAGGTGATCAAAGACAGAAATAGCTTACGGTACCTCGATTACGTTGTATTTTTTATATTTGCAAGGAAGATAACAAAAAACCTACTTGCTTTAATAAGAAGAAAAATCGGCAAATCGCCCGGACGAAATACTTACGTAAATTTCACTTTAGCCACATAAATATGGTGTAACCAGGATTCGCACATTATTCTTAGCACCATGTTTAGAGTTGTAATGTCATCAGTTGCTTTTATTACAGGGAGTAGCATTTTGTCTGAAAAAGAAAAGAAAAGACATGAAAAAAATTAATGGAAAACAATAATTACCTTGTTGTACTGACAATCAAACAGACATTTAAAAATAATATAGTATCTGTACGTCGACATCTTTGTCGAAATATTCAACAGAAATTAAAGCGGTATAAGCATCCGGTTTATTTAGGCCTACTAAAAACAAAAATATCCTAAAAGTGTGGCCTGATTATGGGCCAATAATTAAATATAAAATTCTCGTGTCACAATGTTCGTTCCCATATTCCTCCGAAACGGCTCGACCGATTCTTCTTTTATGCATATTCAGTAAGTCTGAGAATCGGCTACTATCTATCTATCAAACCCCTAAAGGATAAGGGTCCACCGCAATTTTTATTAATTATTGGATAATTTCTTTTTTTATTGTGTATTTAAAAAATACATACAACCCTAAATTTTCACCCCACTACGATCAACCCCCTTTTTTGGTATAGTGGATAGGTTTTTTTATTAAACTAAAAAAAAGTTTCCTAGAAATAATATAAGTACAATAATATACAAAACAATGTTTGCTGAGTCAGCTAGTTAAATATAAAATGATCGTTATTAGTTCAATATGGAAGACGTCCATATTAGTAACCTGATTATATTAAACCCGGAATTGTTGTCTTTTATTTATTTACTTTAATAAAATCCATGGATGTTATCAATGAAACTTATTTGTTTGTAAATGTTCAAGCGTTCATCCGTTCTTGGGCCGCTCTATATGGTTGAGGTGAAATGATTCCAGCGAAGAGGTATTATAGAAAGGGTTTTGTAATGAGCTTGATAGTTTTCAGGATATTAACTAAAATATCTCATGAACAATCTGAAATTCGTGACGCTGCGTCGTGGATAGTTGTATTAAATCATCTTATTATAAAGTTGATTGTTAATGTTCCAGCGATAAAAGCGAATACCTAAAAACTCATGCACATATGCAGAATATTGTGGCAACGATTCAGTGACGCGCCGCCATTCCGCGTTGCTTGGGAACATCATGGTGAGATGAGCCAGACTTGTCGTTCCACACACAGATGATAACACCGATATTATTTCTTCTGTGGCATCCTGAAATATGTTTTATTATAAAATTCTACGAACGAAAACGAACCAAAGTTAATATCGGTAATAAATTTAAGGAATTCATATTTGATATATGAGTTTTAAAATTATGAATATTGATTTAAGTTTATCGAGAATTTAAGGGAATTTGTTTAAAAATTTGTGGGTGGCTATTAATAAATTTAAAATTTAATACTAAATCAGCGATAATGTTGGTATAAATAGAAATAATAATTAATAAATACATAATAATTTTACCTTAAATTTTTGAATGTTGACTTTTACTTCGGATACTAGTTTTTCTCTCATTTTTGCGCAAACGTTTTCATGAACGCCGATTTTTCCTAAAAAATTAATAGTACCTATTGGTTTTTAAGTAGAAAACAAAAGTACTTACCACTATTTACTATATAAAAAATACTAACAAAATAGAAATGGTACGTATGTTTGAAATTTGTTTATTTTTAACCTAATTTCTGCAATTATAAAAATATTGCGTTTATTTAAACTGATTTGCCAATTGTGGTAACGCTGTAATGTTTCTGATTCTTTAGTTAAAACAGTGTACTTCTGATTTACTTTTTTACCTGATTCAATAGTAAGTGTATGATCAGCGAATCGTAACTGATTAAGTTGTTCCATACATGCGACCATGTCTTTGTGTGCGATGCGGAAGAAATCCTCCATTGCCCAGTTATTCGCAAGTCTACGGGTTTCCGCGAGACACCACAAGCGATAAGTATGTATGGAATGGTCTGTAAAACATACAGGGTCTCAAACTTAATATAAAATCTTATCTCAGGAACTGTTAAACAGTGCTTAAGAGTCACAATCTAGTGACCTAAGATGGTGTTTGGTCTAAACGGGATATACCTATCATGTGTTCGGAATGCGAACCTGCGTGGTCGTTATGCCAAGTAATCTATTTACTACGTGTCATTTACTCACAAAAATTATATATAAGTAAATTTTTTTTCATATATTATCAAGATTATCAAACTGTAATAGTAATTTAGCACTGCAGCGATTTCAAATCCCACGACAGTTTTTCAACCAATAAATGCCACGTGATCCATTTATTGAACCATTGATCTGTAATCCTGATAATGGAACTTCATACATAATACATTTTTTTGCATGCCATAATGTTAAAATATTGTGTGTTACGTGTTAAGTGATACCAAATGCCAATACAAAGTGGTTAATAGAATTTATTAATTAAAATATGGGACAAACGGACTTTCATAAAATATTGATAATACCAAATATGACTATGTAAAGGTAGATACACACACAACCACGTAGAGTCTAATTTCAAGGAAACGTCGGCACCCATTTAAATAAAAAATATTCTAAAACAGTTTTGACATACCAAGTCTATGTAAAATAGGTATTTGTTCTACAATAGGTAAATCTTCTAAAGGCGCGCCCATTATGTAGTCCCATGTCACTTCGCAGTGGTTGTTTAGAGATACCAGCTCTTGCAGCATTACGGCGTAATTTGCTCCGGTTTCAGTTGCCTCAAAAATTGTAAGCAATTAATTGGTGGAAAGACTTCTATTGTACAAATAAAGAAGCGACCACTTTAAACCATATTCTTTGATAGCTATTGAATGGTTCGTCATTATAACTCTGATTTTACAAATCAGTTAATACCTACATTATTTAACTAATTGTAACTTAGGTACAGTAAGTTGAGACTGAAATGTATAATAAATGGGCCTACTTTAATTTCTTGTTCACAAGCTTACTACTAAACTACAAAAGCGATTTTAATGTTAGTAATTATATTCCTAATAAAAACAAACGCAATCTTGGAATTTCGGAGTAGGGTAGGCTTGCTTATGATGTGACTGATTTGATTATATTTTTAGACTAGTCTTAATTAAAATACAAAAATTACTTCACCTATAAAACTTACTTCAGTTATATTTATGGAGAGACCTGGATAGACTGCCAGCGATGTAGTTCTTAAGTTCGTTGTCAATGTTGCTCTATATGCAAAGAAAATTACGAATGATTTAATACAAATGCTTTACGAGTTTTTGCTATTAATTATGCCTCATTTCTCGAATTTATCGTATTTCCTTTGAATCGTTGATTTTTCTATATGCGTTTAATAACAGTTCTAGTCTGTAGATTCGCATCGATTATAGAACTGTAGATTTTAACAATAGGTAGCAATCTCGTTTTATAGAAACTAGAACGTCCCTTTTTCACATATTTAAAATCTTTGGTTATGTGATAGCATTCTATGAATAGTAGGTAAAAATTGAATTTTTGAAGTAAAGATTAACAGCAAGATTTTACAATCATAATTATTTTTTACAAGCTCTTAATTAACTAAGAAACGTATCAAAAAATGGTACTGTATATAATCTCTGTATGGGCGTGATTTGGCATAAAACCTTTAATTCATATACATATATAGTAATAATAATATATATAATAAAATTCCGTAAGATACATTATTCAGAGAGCATAGACATTTACCCGAAGTGCTTATCCCACGACGTAGAAGTAACGTGACAGCCTAGAGCATCGGCGAGAATCCTCAGTGCCGATAGTACCAAATCCGGCGTGTCTATGGAAACCACGGACTTGTAATATTACGAAAATATATATAGGTTTTGAGATGTTTTCGTTCTAATAAGCTTTAAGGTTGTAGCGTACAATACGAATTATCCTAACAAGTAAACCCTTTTAATAAATTCCCTGTACTAAAAGTAGAGATAATAGTGTAAACGGAATATAAAGTACCTAACACATTATTTTAGAGCTGTCTCATTAAGATCTCGTTTTGGGTTTTTTCAATTATGACAAACTATACTTGAAACTAGGAGAGTTAAAACACCTGTAGACTGATTAACAATTAAAATAATATAAACTATTTATTAATTTCAAAAATAACACTTAACTTACTATTAACATTGAAGATAGAGAATAACCATTCACGAAGGTTTTGGCTGACACTTGGTGACCTTAAAACAAAAATGTATGTTACATAGTTAAAATACACATTATTTTTAAAAATATAGATTTGGTCGAATAACATTTCCTATAGTATATATTACTCCAGTTGCATTTGATGAAAAACCTTAAGGGAAATGTGCAAACGTATTAAGAAATGAATAAGCGTTTCGTTTTTTTATGATTGGTCACCATCGTCAGTTTAATCTCAGCGCGACACAAACCATCTTTGCATTCATTTCATTTTTCAAAATCAAACGAAATTAGTGACATATTATAAATCCGCTCCCTTAGATTGTAAATCACATGAAATAGATTTTATTCAAAATATATACACATAGTGACAAGAAAACAAGTTAATAGTAATGTATGAATGTAACGCCCCAAGGAACAGATATATATTTGCGACCGTTTCATGTGGTGGCACTTCTGCGCATTTCAAACCGAAAAATTTTGACAAAAAAATAACGCACGCCAGCGTATACGCTAGGTGCATTAACCACTAAGCTACAACGGTGGTTAATAAGTCGGTACATACCTTGGGAAAGGAAATATTACCTTGTGGCTAAAGGAAATGAGGACCACCATAAGACAATGTGTTCAAGGCAGTTACCAACGTCGCCCCATAGAATGTTCTGATAATACTCCGTCACCTTCTGAGCTGCTTTTTTACTCGCTTGCAACCTTCCTGAAGATAAATATTTTCACATCTTTACACTAGCTACGTGTTATACATAGTTCTAGCTATCACTATTATACATAGTTATTATTGCTGAATAATTTAATTATTCCCTGTATATAGATTCACACTAGAGCAGTTTTGGTCTCATCACTGAGGTTGTAGGTTTGAACTCTTAGCTAAGCACCACTGGAATTGTCTATGAACTCTGCCTGTGTGCATTCAACACGGTGAACAGTGGTGTAACAATAGGGTGGCAGGGCTGGCAAAATACCACGGGCCCCCGACATAAGAGGGCCCCTGCCCAAGAGATATTATGTTCTATGGATGAATGTGAAGTCTCCAATACGCATTGGGCTAGCGTGGGGACTACAGACCATTCCCTCTCGCCTAAGAGAGGAGGCCTATGGCCATTAGTAGGACATATACAACGTGTAATTGAGTACGCTGAAAATCTCGAAGTTTATTAAAATTAAAATAAGTAGGGACGATTTTCACTGATAGGGCCCGATCAAAAGAATTTGCCACGGGCCCCAGACGGTGAAAGAAAACATCGTGAGGAATTCGGCATGCCTTAGACCCAAAAAGTCGTCAGCGTGTCTGCCAAAAAAAGCCGATCTACTTGCATATTAGAAAAACAAATGATCATGAAATAGATGAGAAATCTAAGGCCCAGACTTAGGCCTACAACGCACTAGCGGCTGGCCGCAATGCGGTGTGCCGCTGCGGCAGGCCGCACATCGATTATTACATGAAACCGCACGATAACAACGCACTGACTTGCAGACAACCGTCAACCGCTCCGGTTGATCTGGAGCTGCGGCGAGCCGCACCGGTTGAATGATGCGGCGCGCCGCATCCCCTCCACGCACTCGGCGCGGTTAGCCGCAAATACCACGTCCTACCCGCCTCAGTCATCGCTTGTTCCTTGCGCTAGACACTACGCAGAGTATTTTTGACGATATTTTCTACGATGATATAAATTGATTAACTGCCGCAACTTCTTCAACGTCCATCATGTGCAATATTTCAAGAAGCACTTGACGAGTGACGATTGCGGCAGACCGCAATAGGGACGGTTAGCCGGAATACGGCATGCCGCTACGGCAGACCGTATATACTGCGGCCTACCGCAGCGGCACACCGCATCACGGCCAGCCGCTAGTGCGTTGTAGGCCTTAAGGTTTTTTTTATTTGTTTGTAGAATGTCCAAATAGAGCTGTGATGAAGCTATATATGTATGTTATAGTTGCTAAGAAGTCAGATATTGATTAATGCGAGGTTGCCAGAGAGTTAAAGGAGTTTTATACGGGTTATTGTATGCCGAAAATATTTTATCCATAACGTACTGTTTAAAATTTAACGCATTATTATTTGATACATTTAAGACTTTAAAAGAGCCAAGACAAACCATTGCCAATTTGATAGTGTGCCTTAAAGATTAAAATTTTTGAGAAAAAGTAATGCCGTATATTTTAAGGTTGTAGGTTTACATGTAATTACCTGATTTAAGTTTCTTAACACCTTTATTCCCCAGTAGCAACGGCGAAATGTTTGCCACTGTATCTAACAATACTTCAATATATACTTCTTCGCTTTGTAGAATACTGTTTACGTTCTCTGAAATAATCCAAATGAAATGATTCATAAAAAATAACCATTTTAAATGTGCGCATAATCATACCACATTTTTTCGTTTTTTAAATGTATCGATAGATGGCGTTACAAATGCTATTCGCGTCATTTCTCTGGACGTTAACGTTTGTATCTTTCATTTCCATACATCGATATCTAAGCCCACACCCACGCTAATTAATATAAACTTTATAACATATTGTCGCCGTTATTACAACCGCTACAATCCTATGAAACTTGAACTAGTAGAAGTAAGGATAATTTTATTATTAAAAATTCACATCTAAAAAGTATATACATTATTAGAATTAAAAATAGGAATATGAACACACCTTCATTAAGAAGAACATCCAAAACACACTCGTTACTCAAAAGTGACGTGTAAGGTATTTCTGAGTCAGAATTCTGTGGATTTAAAACTTCACTCAATTTCTTATGCCCATTCTTAGGTTCGATGAGACTCTGCGCTTGCTTCATTTTAGCTTTTCGGTTCTCAATAAAAGCTTCTCGGCGTTTGTTACTATCTATTTTGGATACAGATGAAGATGGCGGCGTTATGTGTTTTGTTAGGGTGCTGAAAGTATTAAAAGATTTTTATATAATAGAAATATAATAAACTCGTTAAATTAGTACATTAGTATTCGGGATAGTTTTTAAATTATTGTAACAATAAACGATTTTTTTCTAATTTAATTTATTTTGAGTTAGGCTTTTTTATCGTCATAAGGGGAAGACCGTTCCCCCCCCCCGCGGGGGGGCCCCCTCCACCCAAGAAAAAAACTGAACAGAGCAAAGAGCACGGTCTTGTTTTTTTTTGGGGGGGGGGGGGGGGGGGCCCCCCCCCCCCCACGATTTGGGGGATTTCCCCCCCCGGGGGGGGGGGGGCCCGGGGGGGGGGGGGGGTTCCCCCCCCGGGGGGAATTTTTTTTTCCCCTTTTTTCCCCCCTTTCCCCCGAAAAAAAAAAATTTTTTGGGGGGGGTTTTCTCCCCCACCCCCCAAAAAAACCTCCCCACCCGCCCCCCCCCCCTTTTTTTTTTTTTTCCCCTCTTTTTTTTTTTTTTTTTTTTTTTTTTTGTTTTTGTTTGTGGGGGGGGGGGGGGGGGCCCCCCGCGGGGGGGGGGGCGGGGAGAGTGGGGTCGCAATTTTTTTTGGGGGGGTTTTTTTTTTCCCCCCCCCCCCCTCCTCCCCCCCCCTTTTTCCCCCCCCCCCCCCCCCCCCCCCCAAAAAAAATGGGTTTTGGGCCCCCCCCCCCGGGGGGGGGGGGGGGGGGTTTTGGTGGGTGTTGTTTTTTTTTTTTTTTTTTTTTTTTTTTTTTTTTTTTTTTTTTTTTTCCTTTTTTTTTTTTTTTTTTTTTTTTTTTTTTTTTTTTTTTTTTTTTTTTTTTTTTTTTTTTTTTTTTTTTTTTTTTTAGGATTTTTACCAATCCATCACCCAAGTCAGTTTTGACCCAGCTTTCGACCCTCCGCTTTTTTTGGGAGAAAAAAAAAAAAAAAAAACCCCCCCCCCCCCCCCCACCCCCCCCATTCTCCCCCCCCCCCCCCAAATATATTTCCCCCCCCCCCCCCCAATTTTTTTTTTTTTTTTTTTTTTTTTTTTTTCTTTTTTTTTTTATTGCGTGTTGAAAAGTTTTTATTTTTGTTTAATAGAAGTAAATCTTTTTTTTGTTTTTTTTTCTTTTTTTATGATTTTGATTTATACGTGTCGTTTTAATCGCAGTACGGAACTACCCACAGCGTACGAAGGTACCTCCAACACTGTACGAAGGTGCCCCGTGAATGGGGCAGATTCTACGTTTCCCCAGATTTATTGGTTGAACCATAAGATGAAATCATTGTCATTTTTTTATATGAATCTCAGAAGTAGGATATAATTTATTGAGATGATTGATTATGGAAAAAAAAAATAAATAAAATGAAGGGTCCCACCTTCCCTACTTATTTGTAATCTGGAACATGATTTTTCAATATTTACCGCATACATTTATTAATATTAGCTTAGCATTCACATACATAATATTGGTGCAAAGCAATAATATGTTATGTTATTGTTAGTCGGTGTAATAATAATATATCTTACTGATAAATTTCTAAGCTGTCTGCGCTACTTGAAGACGCGTTATCTTGGTGCTCTTCGGGTTTAAACATTTGGACCAGACAGTGGATCAGACGGTGACAATTCACTTCCGTGCGACTTTTTGATAGGATCTGTAAGAAGTTATCTTATTTGAAGTCTCTAACGGATAATAAATAATTGTGTACTAAATGAAATATGATTTGGTCATCTGTTTTATTATAGTTGTTAGCCAAGTTAAGCACGCGGTCCTACTTTTGATTGATGACTTGTGAGTTCGAACCCAGACCGTTATAATTTATTTTTCTTCGTATGTGCTGTTAATTTTGGTCGTGAACATAAACCCACGGGCAGGAGGCTCACCCGATGTTAAGTGATACCGCCACTCATGGACACTCACATTGCCAGAAGGCTCGCAAGTGCGTTGCCGGCCTATCAAGTGTGGCGCTGCTCTTCTTTTCAAAAGGAGTATGCTGCGTTTTTGTAATTTGTTACTCAAATCTCAGAGTTCAAACTGTGTGTATCTGGGGGACCAGCCAGGTTTTCAAATGATATATGTATTGATGAAATATTTTGAATATTGTTGCCGTTGCGTAACAAAATGAGTTGATAGCTTAGTATTGAAATCTATATGAAAAATCATTTTTTATTTGTTTGGAAAAGAGTTCGATATAAAAGAAAAACGTCTCGCCCTCAAAACATGAAATAATGCTAACCTGAACAATCTTTGTTAGCGTGATGGGTTTTGTTTCGCTGGTTGCATTTGGGTAAGTATTGCTGCAGACATTGAACTTAGCAGAAAACTTTTTGTAACTAAGGCCCGTCAAGTTGTTATATATTCCCACTAAACTGTAAAAATGGTCACGA